TACATACCGATTTCCTTTCTGAGTTGTGACTACGTGCTTTTTTCGATTTATTACGAATTGTCTCGTACTGTCGACGACTTTTAACCTCCTAATCTTTTAACCAAAGACCTCATATCATCATTCGACACTTTACAGAAGTCTGAAAAGTATAATCTGCCACTAAGTCTGGCGTATTTTTTTATACGATAAGGGTGACAAACGAGTACACAGACCACCTGATGGTAAGTGGTTGCTGTGGCCCATAGCCATCTTCATCTATCCTCGATTACGAATCAAAATGCAGATGCGTCGTCACCCGTGAGGACTAAGATGGAATGCCTCGTTTCCATTAAAAAGAATCTCGAAAAAAGGAAGACGAAAGCGTATAACCAGAGCGTAATAATGATAAGTTATGGAAACGAAAAGTTGTCCTTTGTTGCTGGTCGTATGAGAAAGTTCAAAGTCACTAAGCCTTCAATGGAAAGAGAATATGCTCGGAATTTCTCTACGAGGTAGATTTGGTAATGATAATATCCGCAGTAGAACAAGAGTAGATCAAATATTACAGCGGATCCGTAAGTAGATACCGGGCTATTGTCATTCTAAAAATGACGCATATCGCATACCTTCTAAATGCATTTTCAGAACAATGTAACGGATTTCGTTCGTAAAGTATTACGAAACCAACTTGCAAATTATTTATCTTGCAAGTTGATAAGTCTTCTTATGCAAAAAAATAAATTACTTATCTACCCTCCAAATTAAGTTACGAAACATGCTGTGTAAAGTTTTCGACTTGCTTCACGATCACAATGCCGCATTATTTTTAAGGGTTCTCTTATTTCTCAACATTAAAACTTGCGAAGTAAAGGGACTCGGCCTCGTGAAAGTTTGTCCTGTTTATTCTAAGCCGCGGCCTACTTTTTTATTTGGTGACGTAATCCGAACAGTACTACATAGACGGTACAATCGATCCCGCTTTTAACCTAAGCCTTTAATCTACGCATGTCTTATTTATAATAACATATTTTCTGCCGACTTCCAAAAAGGAGACGGTACTCAATTCGATTGTATGTTTTTTTTTATGTGTGTTACCTCATAACTTTTTACTGGGTGAACCGATTTCAATGATTCTTTTTTTTATTTGAAAGCTGGTACATCTCGTGTGGTTCCATATCAATTTGATCAAGGTCGGACCAATAATTTTTGAGTTATTCTTAATAACTTATATTGAAGTCGACTGTACAAAATTTTTAATTTTAAATTATGTATATATAACGTCACGAAACTTGAGTATTATCTTGCTCTTGAGTTTAATTTAGATTTAGAGGATAATAAATCAGGAGATGGGCAGCAGCGTCTTTCTAATATAGAGTGATTTATAATGTATAGTAAATTATTTTTAACACAATAATAATACGTTTGTAATATATTTGTATTGATCTGCAAACGAATATCAATTGGCAATTGGTCCATTTCGAACCCGCTGGTATTGATTTATTCACATCACGCGTTTACTGCCTCGTTAACCACATTTCAACAATACCTCGGTCTAGATGTCGATCAATATTGTTCGAATGTTTTGATCTCTTCGAAAGGTTTTATAGCTTAGAATGCAACACAAAGTATATCTAATACACATTCATTATTTTACATTACTACAATATACAGGTAACTCATCTTATTGAGTTTTAGCGGTGGTAGCCGCAGAATCGGTAAAGTCGCGTTGTAAAATTTGCGTGCAGGTGTTTTCGAATGGATTTTCCGAGATCTGTCGGTGGCTTGAGTTTTGTTCGTCAACCAATGGTAAAACTTTTTAAGTGGTGAGACTCATTTTTGTCTAGCAGTCCGTCTAAGTAAGACCCCCCCCCCCCCACTTTATTTTTCTGCGGTAAAGGCACTACTGCTGTTTTCTGGTTAGAAAGGTTTATTAGAGATCTAGTATACGTGGTAAAGCCATGCTGCAGCTATATTAATAGTATAGTTGTAGCACGAATGGATACCACAGAATACCAGCGTAAAATAGCAGCTTAACGCTGCTGTGTTTCGTGTGGTGAGTGTAGAGAACCGGAGACCCTTTTTACTGGAAACGAGAAACAGAAACAGAAACAGAAACTTTTTTATTCAATATAGATTATAAATAATACTTATTGAAAGTCACTCTTTTGTTTGATTACCACTGGTTCGGAAAAAACCTCTGTCCTGGGAAGAACCAGCAAGAAACCCAGCGGGACTTTTTTTTAAATAACAGCTTACAATCATGATGTTACACAAATTAACAACACAACAAATTAGAAATAGCTTGGTAGCGATCACCTCATTTCCAGGGGTTATTATCATCCATAAATTCCTTAATATTATAATAACCCTTTCTATACGAACTTAGTTTAATAAAGTTTTTGAACTTTGAACAGGTCAAACTTTGTATATTTTCTGGAATTTTGTTGTAAAAGCGTATACATCGCCCCAAGAATGAATTACTGACTCGATGGAGTCGAGTAACTGGTACTACTAGCTTGTGTCTGTTCCTAGTATTTACAGAATGAATATCACTTATTTTTGTAAAACTACTTTTATTTTTGTGTACGTACATTACATTTTCATAAATGTATTGAGAGGTCAAAGTTAATATATTAATTTCCTTAAATTTTTGTCGCAGCGACTCTTTAGGCTTTAAATCATAAATTGCTCTTATGGCCCTCTTCTGCAAAACAAATATAATTTCAGTGTCAGCTGCGTGTCCCCATAGCAAAATACCATACGACATTATGCTATGGAAGTAGCTGAAGTAAACTAGTCTAGCTGTTTCAACACTGGTTAGACTTCTAATCTTTTTTACAGCATATGCTGCAGAACTGAGTCTGCTTGCTAGTTTTGATATATGGGGGCTCCATTGAAGCTTCGCGTCTAGTGTGATTCCAAGAAAAATGGTGGTATCTACAAGACTCAGTTTCTCCCCATTTAAAATTACATTAGTATTTAATTGTTTGACATTTGGAGTCATGAATTTCATAATTTTGTTTTAGTGCCATTTAAATGCAAATTATTAACATCGAACCAATTTACTAATTTAGATATAGCATTATTTACTTCGTCATATTTTAGTAACTGTCGACTTAATTTGAAAATTAAAGAAGTGTCATCTGCAAATAATACTATATCATGGTTATCCCCTACTATGTAAGGTAAGTCATTAATGTATACACAGAAAGGGGCCGAGAATTGAGCCTTGAGGCACGCCTATTTGTACCATCGATCCGGAAGAGCTCATATTGTTAATGACAACTTTTTGCGTTCTCTTACTTAAATATGAAATAATTAATTTAAGGGCATCACTTCTTACACCGTAGTGTTGAAGTTTCCTGATTAATGTTTCATGGTGAACACAATCGAAGGCCTTGGATAGGTCACAAAATATACCCAAAGCATCCTGTGAATTCTCAGCTCAACACCGGCATCAGTTGTCGAGCGACCCCTTGTGAAACCAAATTGATTTTATTGAAGTAAATTATTTATATTAAAAAAATTTAACACTTGATCAAGAACAATTTTTTCAAAAATCTTACTAAGTGTTGGTAGTACAGAAATAGGTCTAAAATTGGCGGGGTCTAATGTACTACCAGATTTAAATAAAGGTATTACTTTACTATGCTTCATTAAATCAGGAAACACACCAGATTCGATCATTCCATCTTAGTCCTCACGGGTGAGAACGCATCTGCATTTTGATTCGCAAACGAGGATAGATGTAGATGTCTATGGGCCACAGCAACCTCTTACCGTCAGACGAACTGTGTGCTCGTTTGTCACCCTTATCCTATATAATAAAAATACAGATATGGAATGACTCACAGCCAGTAATTATTATAGTCATAACTGTCGTGTTATTACAGCCAGTTTATGTGCTGCTGTTGCCAATTTACATAAAGTGGACCGTAAGTTCGTTAGTCACTTCAATTTTATAATATTGTTACGAGCTTGGGGTTCGAGACAATTAAAAACTGCCGATTGAATTACCAAAATTTACACTTTAATTACAGAACACTAATTACAACTTAAAACCACACTAATAATAAAACAAAATTGTACTACTGATCACTATTTCGCCGTTGTATCGCTTTGAAGTATTCGCTTATATCGCCAATTTAATACTGCCTTGGTCGTGGTCTATACCGGCCTTATATAGGGCCTCAGATAGTTTCCAGAACCTTCTACTGTAGCGACATCTAGAATGTTCGAGTACATATCGATCCCGAAATTTCTAGAAGGATCTTGACTCTCCTATTTCTGCTACTCGACACTAGAGGGCGCTAGTGTAACTATAGTGTTGACATGTACAAGACATTAATAGTGGCGCGCAACAATATAGTATACGTACATCGCGCGCAGTTAAATTTGGCATTTCGAGAATTTTGGCATACTTCGACGTACTGCACAGTATTGTAAACACAGAAACATAAACAGAAACTATTTTATTCATATAGATTATAAATAATACTTAAAGTCATTCTTTTGTTTAATTTACCATTGGTTCGGAAAATAACGTCTGTCCTTGGAAGAACGAGCAAGAAATACCCAGCGGTACTTATTTAAAAAATAAATAACAGATTACAATCATGTATGTTATAGAATTAACAACACAAAACAAATTAGAAATAGCTTGGTAGCGCTCACTTCATTTTCAGGGGTTATTATCATCCATAAATTCCTTAATATTCACAAACATCGTCATTATCATTATTGCAGTCTTTCACAAGTCCACTGCTGAGCTTAGGTCTCATCTCACCCAAGAAACGCCACAAAGCACAGTCCTGAGCTACCTGCATCCATCGACTTCCTGCATGTCTTACCAGATCGTCACTCCATCTAGAGGGAAGCCGCCCTACACTTCGCATACCAGTACGAGGCTGCCACTCAAGAACTTTTCTTCCCCTTCGGTTGCCGATTCTTCGAGAAAGTCGGCCCATTGCCATTTCTGCTTACTAATCCGTTAACACAAACATATTTTTGTTTATTCCTAGGTCTTCCAGACAGTATGCTTCTATGGCTTCTTCAGAAACTTCGTGGCAGTCGACCCCGGTTACGCGTTTGTGTGCGTCAGCATGCTTCATCACAATGTTCCGCTTTCTACATCACCGCTGATGATGACGTGTGAGTATCGCATATTTAATAATTTAGATATATTGCAAACCTACTACTACCTACCTACTACTCATAGAATAATGAGTAGTAGGTACTCGTGTAGAAGACAGTGTCAGAAATACGGGAACGATTACAATGCACTGGCAAATAAGCATTTAAGCATTTTAAGTCCGTCTTTTGATCCTTAACTTTTTTTTTTTGTAAACTTCAATAAACATTTAATAAAAAAATTATTCATCCTTGAAAATGTTTCACACAAATTATCATAGTTGCACGAACGGGTCGGCTCGACTGGGGTAAGACCACGCTCTCACAGCATACCATCGTAAAATAGCAGCTTAATGCTGCTGTGATCCGTACGGTGAGTTTAGAGAACCGGAGACCTTATTTACTAGAAACAAGTCAATCCATTACAGTCCTCAGGGTGCAGGTAATAGCGGCGCATTTGCATTTTGGTTCTTAATCGAGCATAGATGTAGATGTCTAGGGACCACAGCATCCACTTACTACCAGGTGGACTGTGTGCTTGTTTGTCATCTTTAGTGTATATAAAAAAGACCTTAGTGTATATAAAGAAAGAAGAAGTGAGAAGGGTCTACCACGTTGCTTCAATCATTTTGACGAGCTACAAACATCCTTAAAATATCTTTATTTTCGGGTATACAAGTTTCCAAAAACTCGGGTGTCGAACCGAGTTTGCACGTGAACCATAAAATTAAAGATACCATATGAGCGTTTTGCCTCGGCTCATATTATCGTATATTAATTACTAAATGATTGTGTATATAACAGGCTACTTCAAACGGCCGAGGAGGTGCATCTCCCGAAGCTGTTGAAGCCAGAATTCGGTGGTGGTTATAAGGAGTTCACTGTTCGAGACATGCATTGCTTTCAAAAGGTAATTTGTTTAAATTGTTATTTTCTTATTTCTTTATGTAGTTTTTACTCGACTCACCCAGATAGAGGGTTGAACTTTACGTGGTGTTACATACACATGATATAAAAGTATATATTTATTCTTTCTTCCTGTATGTATGTACGGATGATCCCAGCGCTGTTGCTGACTCTGTCACTGATGTGGTGCTACAGGGAATGGAACTATTTATTCCATCATCTGTGGTACCCATCGGACGCAGATCTCAGCCTTGGTTTGGTCGCTCCTGTAAGACTGCATTACGCAGTGAGGAGGAGTGTTATCAAGCCTGGGCTATGGCTTCGACGACTCGGGATTTTACATCCCGAGTCGCCGAAGCCACCAGCACACTTAAAAAGAAGTATAACTTCGCCTCCAGGTCCTTCAAAAGAGTTATTGCCAAGGCAAAGTCAGAGCACATAGGCAGAATTGGCGAGAAACTAGTTCGCCTTCCTTCGGGAACCCGTGCATTCTGGTCTCTCGCCAAGGCTGTCCTAGGGAATTTCTGTAAGCCATCACTACCATCGCTCTACAGGGAGGACGACTCACTGGCCCAAGCCGCAAAAGACAAAGCCGACCTTTTAGGCTCCCTTTTTGCGTCCAACTTGACTCTTGATGACGGGGGGAAAACACCGCCAACCATCCCGCGGTGTGAGTACTCCATGCCGGATGTGCTGTTCTCACAGCGCTCTGTTCGCAAAACACTCCTCTCCCTGGACATCCAGAAGTCGAGTGGGCCTGACGGAATCCCCCCAATTGTGCTGAGGACGTGTGCTCCGGAGTTGGCACCGGTCCTAACGCGTCTTTTCCGGTACTCCTAATCCCAAGGCGGTCCCGAATTCATGGAAGGCAGCTTTTGTCCACCCGATCCCTAAAAAAGGCGACCGCTCAGACCCGTCCAACTATAGGGCTATAGTCATCACCTCCTTGTTCTCCAAAATAATGGAATCCATTATTAACTGCCAGCTCATGCGGTACCTTTAGGATCACCAGCTATGTGACCGCCAATACGGTTTTCGTCGGGGTCGATCAGCTGGTGATCTTCTGGTCTACCTGACCCATAGATGCGCGGAGGCAGTAGAGTCCAAGGGGGAGGCGTTGGCCGTTAGTTTGGACATTGCGCAGGCCTTCGATCGGGTTTGGCATAAAGCGCTTCTTTCGAAGCTCCCTTCCTATGGGCTTCCCGAGAAATTGTGCAATTGGATCACCAGCTTCCTTACAGATCGGAGCATCAAGGTCGTTGTAGACGGTGCATGTTCCGACTACAAGCCTATTAACGCTAGTGTTCCACAAGGCTGTGTGCTATCACCAACGCTGCTTCTTCTGCATATCAATGATATTGTTACGAGCTTGGGGTTCGAGACAATTAAAAACTGCCGATTGAATTACCAAAATTGACATTTTAATTACGGATACTAATTACACCTTAAAACACACTAATAATAAAACACAATAATTCTATTGATCACTTTAGTTCGCAGTTGTTTCGCTTCGAAGTATTCTCTTGTATCGCCAATTCAATACTGCCTTGGTCGTGGTCTATACCGGCCTTATATAGGGTATAGATAGTTTCCGGAAACTTCTACTGTAGCGACATCTAGAATGTTCGAGTACATATCGGTCCCGAAATTTCTGGAAGGATCTTGACTCTCCTAGTTCTGCTACCCGACACTAGAGGGCGCTAGTGTAACTAGTGTTGCCATGTACAAGACATTAATAGTGGCGCGCAACAATATGTTGCTAACTGGTAACATTCATTACTATGCGGATGACAGCACTGGTGATGCTTTGTACACCGGCCGTGCCAATATTTCTCGGGAAAATGTCGCTGAGTACCGGAACAAACTTGTGTCTGAAGTCGAGTCTTTGCTGAACAAAGTCTCGGATTGGGGGCGACTAAATCTAGTTCAATTTAATCCTCAGAAGACACAAGTTTGCGCGTTTACCGCTAAAAAGAACCCCTTTGTCGTATCTCCTCAGTTTCAAGGCACTCCCCTTCTTGCCTCAGCCAGTATCGGAATCCTCGGAGTCGACATATCGAGTGACATGCAGTTTCGTGGTCACTTGGAAGAGAAGGAAAAATTGGCCTCTAAAAAGCTTGGCGTGCTCAGCAGAGCGGGACAGTATTTCATGCCGGCACACCGCCTGCAACTTTACAAGGCGCTGGTTCGGCCTCACATGGAATACTGTTCCCATCTCTGGGCTGGGATTCCCCAGTGCCAGCTTCTTCCACTTGACCGCATCCAGCGCAGAGCGGCTCGAATCGTCGACGACCGAGTCCTTTCCGATCGGCTCGATTCATTGGCACTGCGAAGAGATGTTGCATTCCTTTGCATTTTCTTTCGCATCTACCACGGGGAGTGCTCTGAGGAATTGTTCGGATTAATCCCAGCCGCCAAATTTCAAGAACGCACATCGCGGCAGAACTCCCGATACCATCCACACTATCTGGATGATTGGCGGTCCACCACTGTGCGATTTAGAAGATGTTTTTTCCTCGCACGACTTCCTTGTGGAATCGATTACCATCAGCGATTTTTCTGGACCAATACGACTTAGGGACCTAAAAGGAGGACGTATTCAATTCGACTGTATTTTTTATGTATGTTACCTCAGAACTTTTTTCTAGGTGAACCGATTTTGATGATTCTTTCTTTATTTGAAAGCTGGTGCTTCTCATGTGGTTACATAAAATTTGATCAAGATCTGACCAGTAGTTTTTAAGTTATCCATGATAATGCATATGTAATTGACTTCGACTACATTGATGATGTTCTCACATTACAATGTAGTCTACACAGAATAAATAATAGTACAAGAAGTAACAGCTCGGAGTTATGTAATTTGTGATCTTTTACCCCCGTGCCTCGGAAAGTGCGTAAAACCATAGGTCCTACGCCTGATTACTTTTTGTGTGTGTGTGTGTGTGTGTGTGTGTGTGTGTGTGTGTGTGTGTTTTTATAGAATAAGAGTGACAAACGAGCACACAGTCCACCTCATGGTAAGTGGTTGCTGTAGCCCATAGACATCTACATCTATCTTCGTTTGCGAATTAAAATGCAGTTGCGTTGTCAGCCGTGAGGACTAAGATAGAATGCCTCTTTTACAGTAAAAAGGGTCTCCGGTTCTCTACACTCACCATACGAAACACAGTTACATTAAGCTGCTATTTTACGCTGGTATTCTGTGAGAGCGTGGTCCTTCCCCGGTTGAGCCGACCTATTCATGCCACAACTGTAATATTAATATAACTGCAACAAGGCTCTACCACGTATAGGTGTGTGGGGTCTATTTAGCTTAATTACTTAAAGGGACCTATTAAAGCAGATAAACACTGTCTGATTCTGTTCTTCAACATCATGTTTTATAAATAATAAATCTAATTTATTTCTAACAGGGCAGTTCGGCGTCTGAATTACTAAATTCTCAAGAACGCGGTGCTTTAGTAAAGCACGTCTTGGAATCGGCACGCGCCGAGCCTGGGGACGAGCACGCCTTGGAACCGGCTCTAACACTGCGACCTGGACAGAGTATAGGTAAGTAGTCTTGGCCGATTTAAACCGTCATCGATCTATGAATTATTTAACCCATTTATATTTTACACTATCAAATTCTAGGATATCGTATAATTCGTTAAAATACATAAATCGCAAAAGATTACGACTGTACAGTAGTGTAAAATAATAATAGATACTTAATGCATACTTAATGATAGTTTTCTACCTACTTCTAAAAGGAGTCTCATAACTTTTTTCTAGGTGAACCGATGTTGATGATTTTTTTTTAATTTGAAAGCTGGTGCTTCGCATGTGGTCCCATATAAATTTGATCAAGGTTTGACTAATCATTTCCCATCTCCTGGTTTGTTTTCCTTCTCTTACCTTTTATGACACCCGTGAGACGATATGGATAAACTAGGTAGATGTTCTTACACGCCTCTGCGAGGTGTGTCATCCTGATGATTTTTTTTATCGCCAAGCATAGCTAGTTTGTCCAAGAATTGTATATTAATATGAGATATTTCATATATATACAATATACAAATGATACGCCACAATAGAACGTAAACATTACTTATTATTTTATTGGTGTTATATATTATTATTCTTTAAGTCTTGCATAGTTCGTGTCCGCCATGTATATTTTATACTGACTGACTGACTTGTATATTTTATACTGTACGTGGTAGAGCCATACTGCAGCTATATTAGTAGTACAGTTGTAGCACGAATGGGTCGGCTCTACAGGGGAAAGACCACGCTCTCACAGAATACCAATGTAAAATAGCAGCTTAACGCTGCTGTGTTTCGTATGGTGAGTGTAGAGAACCGGAGACCCTTTTTACTGGAAAAGAGGCATTCCATCTTAAATCCTCACGGGTGACAACGCATCTGTATTTTGATTCGCAAACGAGGATAAATGTATATGTCTATGGGCCACAGCAACAACTTACCATCAGGTGGACTGTGTGCTCTTTGTCACCCTATCCTATAAAAAAAATTCACATGGCTTATGTTACCCGCGCAATTAAAACGACTCGATTGTGATATATACGATGATTGGAAAATGGATGCAAAGCTGTAAGAGGAAGGTAGTCTAGACCCTAGAGTATTTAGAACCATAAGATATTAAGTAAGATTATATTGAAGTGTTTTGCTACTTTTGACATAGACTTTCAAACAAATTGGGATGCGAAAAAAACAGCTTAGGTATCTAAAATTTTTACAAGAACAGAGTACGTGCTTAAAAACCTTTTTTCTTTCATCAAAACTTTTATTACGCTTGTGATTGATATACTACATGTCGAAGTAAACTTGGCCGTCCATTTGTGTTTATTGCTCGTTAAGGATTCGAGCAGACTGGCGTAAAATAAATAAGAATAGCTTTTTCGTAAATAGAAAAATCTTTTGACAAGTACGACTGTAGGATTTTAAAAGGTACGAGTATCTTTAGATTATTTAGGTTTTAACCCAGGAGTATTAAAAGCAGTGACGTTTTCATGGATAATTTCGAAAAACAACATATAGTTGTCAATCAAAATATCTTATATTACTATCGATATGTAGACGACATAATTATTTGCTGGACTGGCACAAGGAGACAACTGGATGTTTTCCTCAATAAATAGAGTCCATGACAAAATTAAATTTAAACTTGAATTGGAACAAGATCGTTCCCTTAATTTTCTCGACTTAACAATAACAAGAAAAGAATCGTCACATGTTTTCCAAATTTATCGAAAGCCAACTCACACCGACACTGTCATCCCCGCGTCATCATGTCATCCGTGGCAACATAAAGTAGCCGCTTTTTATTGTTACATTAACCGTTTGTTCACTGTCCCATTAAGTAAAGAAAATTATTTAAAAGAACTTAATATAATTTATCAAATAGCGGTCTCTAACGGTTTTTCAAAAAATCTCATTAACAATTTAATTAAAAAGAAACAAAAGCATGTTGTTCGCAACTCTCTGTACGCGGTTCAACCTCAAAGTGTTCATCGATATGTGAGCAGTTTGACCTACTTAGGCCCCATATCTGAAAAAGTAGCTAATACTCTTCGACAAAACGGCGTTTATGTGGCGTTCAAAACAAACAATTCTCTTAGAAATATCTGTAATAATAAAGATAAGTTGGATATTCGTCAAAAGTCAGGTGTTTACAAACTTGTTTGTGACGAATGCCACGCCGTTTACGTATGTCAGACTGGTCGCAATTTCGAGACACGTTATAAAGATCATTTAGCCGCGTACAGGAATTGCAATCCCGATAAATCCCATTTTGCCAAACATCTTTTGGACACTGGACATAACCTAGCCAACGACCACTCCTTTAAAGTCTTACATACGTGTAATAAAGGGCTGCGGCTGTGTGTGCTGGAACAGTTAGAGATATTAAAAAGTAATAATAATACCGTTGCATTGCTGAATGAACAAACAAATGTTACTAACTCACCTCTCTTAAATATCTTTAAGCCTGCTCTCTAATAATAGAGAGCCTCGCAATATGGTCGTTTATCACCCTCACGGTGATCGGCGATTAGTTGCGTGGTTGGAGGGTGGGCGTTGCGCGGCGGTGTTTTTTTAATTTTACAAACGGCTGCGTAAGTCCGGCGGTGATTGGTCGCATGTTTTATCGCATGACGCAGTCGCTCGCTCCTTAAGTAAAAAGCGGTTGCGTCATCGGTCTGTATAAAAGGCACTTGTTTTGGCTCGCCGCTCACTAGTAGAGTCTATATCACCTGAGGATGCCTCGTGTAGAGGCGAAACACGTGTCGTATTATCGTCAGTGGTGTGTCTTGCCTAGCGTAGTGATGTTGGGAGTAATGGTGCTGGGATTAGTGGTGACGGGGATAGTGCACGCAATTGAGGGAGGGCGGGAGGTGCTCTTCATACTAGGTAAGACACATCATTTTATTTTATAACGCGGATATTTGCGAAGTAAATTTTTCTAAAAGCTTTTATATAATGGATTTCCGCAAAGTAACGCCTGATTCTATTAATTAAATTGAACGGCAGCTACCATTTATAACGTAGGTATCCACTAAGAAATGATTTAGGAAAATTGAACTTCTAAAGGGCTTACATAGGGTGTATGAACCTTTTAAGTTTACGGGGCGATTGACTTTAAACTTACTATAGGTACTCTGTATATTACGTGGTAGAGCCACGCTGCAGCTATGTTATGCTGCAGCACGAATGGCATGTAGTTTTCGATTTTAGAAAAGACACACCACCGACGATTTTTTTTTGCGCCCGGAAGCAATTGGAAAGGGCTACCCCAATACCCGAGGAGGCGGTAAATGCTTTATGCATACCACGACAGCCAGTCTGTTGTGGCTATGCGGGACTCACTATGACTACCTAACCGGGACCCTAAGTGATACTCGCAAAAACCGCCTTTGGGGAATGGCAATAGCCTATGAAGCCTCTGCCAGATAGGAAGCGACCCTCTTTTGGGAAAAAGGGCGCAGACAGCGGCGAGCCAAAACAGCTGCTATTTATACAACTCGCCGACGTAACTAATACTTTTCCCCAACAACAGTCTGTCTGTGGGATTTCAGTTAGATCTAAATAGGATAGACTTCCGTCCGTCGACAGTTTCGTTCGTAATACATTAGGCTGTAATGCGTGTAGGCGTCTAGAGAAATCGGTGACATCGAAGAAGGAAGCCCCTTACTAAGTGGCGAAGCTTGCGAAGTCACTTATTGATTTCACGATGTCTGTCCGTCTGTCCCACGATTATCTCGAGAACGGTTTCGAATTTTCAAATTCTGTTTTCAGCAATCGATTACTGATCACCCAGGCATCTGAACCTCCTATTTTGAAACTGATTGCTCAACGGAAACCGTTAGAAACCGCTACAAAGCTGATTGCTTCGCCACTTTGCTATGCTGTTAGCTTGCTAGGTTTATTATATTATTTATATTAAACCATTTTAGTTCCAGCGTGCGTGAGCAGAGGCGTGATCGCAAGTATGTTTCCACTTCACGATCGAGTCGCACTCGAGAGCTTGCGAAAGAAATGGGTTAAGACACTTTTCTCTCCGCAGCCTCTAGGTAAGCCGTTAACACGATTTACAGATTTATAATTTGTCTACCTTATTTTTTTTAACTGCTAAACAGAAAAATAGAAGAATATGGGGGAGGACTCCCCTATTACATGTTTGCATCTTGGCTGATATTTTGTTAATTATTATCGAAAGCATAGAGATCATCTTGGCACCTCTTTCTTGATTGTCCTCGACACCTTTTTCCGTCCTTTTCCTTAAGTGTCATCTACTTTAAAAATTTAGTATATACGTCATAATATCTATTACATACGAGTACAATATAATGTACTATGTCATATTACTTCAAATACTTCGTTAGTTTGTTAAATTAATAAATAAATATTCTCATTCCTAAAGACGCCTATACATGAAAGTAATTTAGAAATTATCTCCATTTTTACTTACATTAATATATTTTTAACCCTTCTCTACATTTTTCAGATGAAATAAGTGAATATTTTGGTGTTAAAATAGCAATGTATTTTGCGTGGCTCGGTCATTATACGCAGTCCCTTACTGTACCAGCTGCCGTCGGCTTTATATTTTGGGTAAATTATTTCTTCATTATAATCAGTAAATTTAAGTATTATGGGGGTTTTGGTCCTTCGTGCCAGATATTTTGTATAACAAAAACATTTTTTCTTACAGATTTGGTTGGGCACAGCAAACGATAACTGGAAGGATATTGCTTATGTGCTATTTTCTCTTTTTAATGTTTTATGGGCTTGCGTGTATTTAGAAACATGGAAAAGGTATATTTATTATTTTTTGTAGTTGGAATAAGGTGCTAAGTTAAGTTTAAATAAGACTTATGTATTATATTTATTTTTCAGATATTCCAACGTTTTAGCGTATAGATGGGGAACTTTGGACCAAAGAGATGACTTGCTAGTTGAACCACGGCCATTATTTCAGGTATTTTTACAAAAGTTGTTGTTAAAATTTCTTTTTATCTTTTGAACATTTTAGACAACACTCAAAGTTTAAAACAGTAACCGGACATCCGTATAGTTAGACCTTTCGCTTAAGAGGGGCTCATATAGTAATGACCTAATATTACTATCAGTATGTATGAAATTAATGATATTAATGCTATTTCGCATTAATTTCATGAGTATATGAATTCTCGTGTCTTAGTAAGTTTTATGTTAATATTTGCTATTTTGACGTTTTTATATAAACACAATAATTGATCAAATGCGAATTGCTGCTTTTATCTAAGTTAATGTCTTAAACCAAGCCCTAGATTATTTACTATTAATGAGATAACACTATCTATTTTATAGTATAAGTACAATAATATAAAAAGACAAAAGAAATTTTCATTTTTGAAAAGGTAAACTGTCACTATCGGTTGCCGAAACATAGTGAAATTTGAGTCACTAATAGAAACAAAGAAGAAGAAAAAAAATATACTTTATTGACACAGCAGTGCGTGCACATTTACAAACGGTTAACAGTATATTATATATATACATGAATACTGTGCCAAAACAGGCTTCCGCTCAACTGACATGCTCGCTGGTCTTTCTCATTCAAACAAAGAAAGACAGACGAAGCGCTGCGTACCTGTATTGTGTGTATGTAAACCATGCTTAACATCTTCACACGTATTGACGCTCACATCTTTCTTCTTTCTTTCTTTATCAACCTCTTAAACTTTACTGCTGGACGCACACATGTGTATCTAAAACCATTTTTATTTATTTATTTATTTAACAGTTTATGTACACACATAATTTGATAAGAAAATGGTAAAAACATAATTATGTACAAAGGCACTGCTTATTCCATGATGAAATTTCTTCCAGCAGGCCTATTGAAGGATAGTTGAAGGAAATAGACGTAGTCAAAGTGTGCACTTGCATAAATATACATATACTATACAAATATATACAAACTTATATATATATACGTATATACATATATAAATAAATATTATATATTATAAAAATATATATATAATTCAATATATATTTTAATGTTACTTATATGCATACCAACACATTACGATTTAGTAATTATGGAGTGAGTGATAGTGCTCTTTAACAAGTCTTTTAAACATAGACACCGATTTAGCATCACGAATCCTAAAGGGAAGTGAATTCCACAATCGTACTGCGTTAACAGAAAAACAATGAGAATAGAGCAATATTGAAAGACGGAAATCTTAACAATGTTCTACTATTTGACCTACATGGTACATCTGGAGAATGAACAAAAGTAAAACGATTTTTTAGATATAGCGGAATAGAAGGATTATGTAGAATATTGAAAAGAAGACAGAGGATACGAGTGTTAAGTAAGTTAACCATTTAAGCTGCTTGCGATAAATAGAAACGTGATCGAACTTCTTTAAGCCGAAAATGTATCGAATACATAAATTTTGCAAGCGCTCAAGTTTATTAATTTGCTCCTCTGTAGCATCCAGATAACATACATCAGCGTAATCTAAAATTGGTAATATAAGAGTCTGGACTATGGATATCTTAGTAGACAAGGGTAGAAAACTTTGAAGACGCTTTAGAGAATGAAAGGCATGAAATATTTTCCTACTTACATCCGTAATATGAGCGCCCCAAGTCAGATTGCAGTCAAAAATAACGCCTAGGTTCTTGGCAGTATCTGAGTAGGGAATAGTGGTACCATCAATTCGTAGAGTTTGGAGAGAGGAGAAATCAAGCAAGCCACGCGCATATCTTTTGCCTATTATCAAGGCTTGGGATTTATTTGGGTTTATTATGAGACCAAAAGATCTTGACCATTCGCTAATCTTATTTAAGTCATCATTCATAGCTTCAATCGCCAATTTAGCTTCAGATGCCACAAAATTACGATATAACTGCAAATCGTCAGCATAGAGGTGGTAATTAGATGATATGACCTTAGTGATACTATTAATAAAAACGGCAAAAAGCAGAGGAGATAGGACTCCACCTTGAGGTACACCCGCAGTTACATTATACCATTGGGAGTATATTTCACCTGAACGAACACATTGAGAACGATCTCGAAGATAGGAGTCAAACCATAGAATAACAGATCTAGACACATTAATCGACTTAAGGATACTTATAAGGATATCAAAATCGACAGAATTAAACGCACTGCTGAAATCTAGTAGAACAAGAACTGTTAAAAATCCATGGTCCATATTCCAACGAATATCATCAGTAACTTTAAGAAGGGCAGTTGTCGTACTGTGACCAGGTCGGAAACCAGATTGATATGGACATAAAAGATTGTTACTGTTGAGAAAGGCTGAAAATTGCTTGTGGACAATGTGTTCAAGAACTTTAGAAAGAAATGGCAAGATTGAAATAGGACGAAAGTGAGAGGGAGATGAAGGATTAGATATCTTAGGGATAGGGATAATGTGAGCTAATTTCCATGACGACGGAAAACAACAAGAATATAAAGAGAAATTAAAAATGTGAGTAAGAACAGGTAGAAGAAAAGAAAGGATAGGCATTATCATATTAGAGCATATGCAGTCATTTCCAGCAGCCGTAGATGATATAGCTAAAATTGATCGGTTAGTATCGTCTTCGGTGACTAAAGAAAAACCAAAAGTGGCACACTGCAGAGCTGGGTGCTTAGCCAATTCTAACATTGACCTAGCTTTATCACGTGCAGAGATAGAAATAGGAGGACAAGTAAAATGTTGGTTGAGAATATTTAAGTCTATGTCTCAACCATGTTGTTAGTTGCAAATGATCTAAGATGTACGTGAGTGTGTGTTCTTACAATACTTTCAGCATGGTTTTGCCTTAGTTTTTGCGTCAATTTAAATGTACGCAGCGCTCCGTCTGTGTTTTTTTTTTATCTTGGCCTGTGTACACAATTAGCAATTATGCAAGACGTACCGTTGTTATTAAATGTACATAAAACAATTTTCCTTTAATGATTATTTTCCCAAAAATCAAGGACAATAATTGCCAAACCGCATTCTTTGCACCTGCTATCCTGATTAAATTTACAACGCTATTAGCATCAAATCCACACATGAGTTTTCCATTATCGCATAAATGCCAAGGAGAGCCAACGCACGCTGCTTACTATACGCTAGCGTACGAAGTGCGAAACGAAGCGACGAATGCAATTCACATTTCACAGAATTACGCAACCCTATTTAATTTGATAAATGCTAAAAGAACATTAGCACGCTAAAAATGAATGCGAATGCTAATGACTCTAATGCTAGCCCCAGATATATGAGAAGAAACATTGTCGGAACCTATATTTTATACACATAAATGAGCTTGAGACCTTTAAAATATCATTAATCGCCTTTGTACACACACAGTGTTCTTTGTCTTCTGTAGGTCCTCTTAGATGTGAACAATATTATACAGGGTTATATTGCAATAACCGACCAAATTTGCAGAGAAGGTTCAGAATAAGTAATACAGGCAAATGGTGAAGAAAAATTAATTAAAAAAAATATTCAAACACTCTGTCCCTTTTATCTTTTAAATTCAAAATGCGTGATAATGCATTATTTTAAATGATTTTACTGCACACGCACACATTCTTAAGGGTCGATCGGTAGGCAAAAACGTTGTTAACCATAAATCACATTCAATTTGGCTCAAAAATAAAAGTAGAAGCCTTTTTTATTCGTATTTTCAAAAACTGCAATAACGGTATATCATTATTTATACAAGGTTATTTTTCGAAGACTAGCCAAATTTAATAATTAAGTTCAAAAAATAAATACTGATATACACTTTTTGCGACGAACAACTGAACGTGTGTGTACGAGTCAATGCACGGAGCTTTTGCCTACTATTTACTTCCTTAATGACACGCTCAATACTATGATTCCAATTCTCCCTTCATATTTTAAACGGGCTAGGTACCTCATAATAAATAAAATATTTTTTTTTGTTACATTTTAACGGCGTGTGGGTTGGATACTATGCAAATAAAAATTCTACACTCCACGAATTAAATATATTTTTTACTCCCTCACAAAATACAGTTCGAAATACAAGTTTAGACTACAGAGCGAGGGAAAGAGAGCTCCGCGATCTTAGCATTTCATGTGCGGAATTTCCAAATATACCATCTGAAAGGTCAGAAATTGGTCATAAAAGGTCAGTTGATCTTATTAATTGGTCAGCGTTAGAAACATTTTTATTAAGGGTTAAAGATTTTCAAGGTCATTGAGAAATTTTAGCACCTCATTCGCGAAAAAAATAAAAAATTCCACCTATGCGCGATCGAGAAGCATTCGCTGATAATTGGTCAGCTTATATAAATATTTGGTCAGTTTAATTTAATATTAAAAAAATAATTAAATAAGTTGGCATTATCGTAACGCGCATGCTTTGGGACGGTTAATTGTATCAGGACAGTGAGCACTTACGCACAGCTCTTTACTTTTTTTTTTGAGAAAAAACTTAGACATTAGAATTAGGCAGTGCGAATAGTGCCGAGTATTGTCGACCTCAGTTGACTGGCGTCGGCGCGTAATATGTTTATTAACATAAGCTTACTACTTAAATATGCAATCACTTAAAATGACAAACCTAAAAAACTAACCATTCACTAAGATGTTTCCGAGATGGACCATCGTTATTTTTCAGTGCTTGTGCACGTTGGTAATGAAATGGGCTGTGTTTTCGACAGCCGAGCTTATCACTGAATGACCACCTCGAGCACTTCCATGTAACGGAGTGGTGAACTGTCCAAAGTCTAACAGCGTTTGGCTGCAAAAATTGTTCTCCGATTGGTGGTACATGTGCGTTAATTCCTTGTCTTTGCAAACACGATAAACACTGTAATATTGCACCATTTCATTGGTAACAAAGCGTACGTAATGAGGTCAACACTGTCAGCTGTTGGCTTGGCTGGGCGAGCGGACGCAATAAAAGAGCGGGGGAGATGCGCTACAAGGTACCCTTACGTATGTGTGCCTGCATAAAATAGTAAACATTACATATTTATGAATTAAAGTCTGTTAAAATAATGCATTACCACGTATTTTGAATTTAAGAGATAATAATGATATTACTTATACTGAACCTTCTTTGCAAATTTGATCGGTAATTGCAAAATAAACCTGTATATTTGGACTTAAGTTTAAAATGTGGCTACTCTTTGAAAAATAACCCTTTATAGTTTATACGAGCCTATTCATATTATCTGTGATTTGTCTTTGATTAGTGACTTAATATGACAACTTTTTACTTCCTTTCCCTCATAGATTAATTTGTTATTAAATTCTTATATTGCCTGTTAATTAATTTCATATGCATAAAAATAAAGCTTAATTAGCGTGAATTTGGCGGATAATGAAAACCTTTTGAATTTGACGACTTTAATGTATGGTTTTAAACCACTGAACTCTATTATACAAGTACACTGGACTGGCTGTATACTGTGACATAATGAGGCGATTTGATTTTCGCCATTTTGGCGCTGATATCAGAAGTGAGCGTCCACGGAACTAATAATAGAGATGAGCAAAAGAGAGTGAGCAAAATATATCGATAAAAATTCTTTACCCAGGCCTACCATTCTATTTATGTTACATTTTAATATAATGCCATGCAATAATAAGTTCATTGAAAGAAAGGGGTATGAAAGTGAACGCAAGTAAGACGAAAGTGATGGTTTTTGAAAGAGAAGAAAGTAAAACTTTATGTAAAATAAGAATAGAAGGGGAGTTGATTGAGCAAGTGGATGAGTTTGTATATTTGGGATGTTTATTTAGCAGGGATGGTAGATATGATAAGGATATAGAACGACGAGTGAACGCAGGAAATAGAGTGAATGGGGCTCTACACGCTATTGTGAGGAGTCAGAATGTGTCAACTAAGGCACGTATGGCAATTCATAATGCTGTGTTAGTACCCACTTTAATGTATGGTAGTGAAAGTTGGGTCTGGCAGAAGAAGCATGAGAGTAGAATAAATGCTGTAGAAATGCGTTCCTTAAGGAGTATGCTAGGGCTGAATCTGAATGACAGGGTGAGAAATAGTGTAATAAGAGAAAAGTGTGGTTTGCAAGATGACGTTGTGACAAGGATTAAGAAAGGAATGCTTCGGTGGTTTGGTCACGTAGAAAGAATGAACGAGGAAAGAGTGACAAAGCAAATTTATGTTGCAGAAGTGAACGGCAGGGTCGGGAAGGGACGCCCTAGACGAAGGTTTATCGACCAGATCGGCGATACATTGAAAATGGGCCAGATTAGGAGTACCCTTAACCGACGAGCGTGTATGCGTAGATATATGGATGTGAAAGAGGCGAGAGAGGTGTGTCAGGATCGCGCCAAATGGAAGTCCGTAGTCTCTGCCTACCCCTCTGGGTGACAGGCGTGAGTGTTTATGTATGTATGTATATGTAAATAAGTGTATCAATTAATACTTATGTCTTAGACACAAGCTTGTTCCTCATACGAGTATAAAAGAAAAATCTACACTGTGTTTAGTCTATCTATGTTTTTATTCGTTACTATAGAACATATTCTTCTATTCCGGGTTTCACCCTTAGGTATGTATGGTTCATTCGAGAGGTTTAAAAAGGTCCAACGAGAGTCCAATCTGGAGTTTAGAAATACGAAATTAAAAAAACAAAGGGGAATGCCCACCGTTCATAGACACTTCGGCTTTTTTTAACGTAAACTGTAAATCCTCTTGCTTGTGGAATGTGTGTGTGTGTGTGTGTGTGGAACACGTGTCCCTTCTAGTAACAAATTTTATATTATCATTGTTACTAAAAATACATGAAACGTAACCGAATTACACAACACACACTCTTTTTCTCGTTTAAAACTTTAAAATACACTTAGACGTTTTGAGTCAAATTTAGTTCTCGGTAGACTCGATGGCGGCGCTTCAAATCGGCATAAACGTTTTGTAGGGTATAGCCAATGCAGCGTACTAGTATATATGGAGGTCAGTGTCTTAAACCAAAACATGGTGGACAAAGTTCAAATGTTTGTTAAACATATGGCCAAATACTTGTGCCACATTTTGCAACTAACATATTTGAAGCTCAAATCTAGCTCCGGCTTTTATACATCCCAGACTTAGATGCCCTATGGTTGCTTTGTCTGTCTCGTTGGTCTAGCGGTTGTAAGCGTGACTGTTGATCATGTGGTCCCGTATTCAAATCACTAATCGTGGCAAAAATTTTTAATGTTTTTTTCTGACAATAAATACACAATATCAAACCGCAGTACGAAAGTTGGCGGCGTTTCACCCCTGAGGCTCGGTATAAAATGTCGTTGGTCCTGACTTCCCTACGAACGTGTCGGATTGCCGTTCCTCCAGCTATGAGGGTGCAGGAATAGACACTGCACCTGTGCTTGTGCTCACACTCTGGCTTTACAATAATGTCTTGCGTATTGTCCGTTGAGACTGGACCGAAATTCGGTCTGGAGAACATTATTATACGGTGTCTCAAATTGAGCTAGAACCTTAAAAACAAAGACGTCTATATATACTACTATTGCTCTAAGCTACGGTCGATTTTCCATAACTCCTTTAGTCGTCTGCGAGCAGGCGAGAAGACTATACTAGAATTATTTTGTCCTTGCAGTTTGGGTTATAAATCATCGGAGTATTTCGCTCTCTCTCCCACTCACGGGCCATAGGGGCGAGCATAGTGATGCGCATTATTGTTGTCGATAAGCGTTATCGATAGTGTATTTAGTTATGTCATTATGTCGGTTAGTGATTAAAATGAAAAAAAAAATTTGATAAAACAACGTATTTATTAAAATAAGAATAATAATGATTTAAAATAAATAATTAATTAGGTATCTATGTATTAAAAAAAAACTATAAGTACAAATGTTTGGAATGTAACAAGTTATATTAAAAATAAAAATAAATATAAAGATAATAACTTATATCTAAAATTAAATCTAAAACTATTTACATTACAATTCTACATCAGAATCATCAGAGTCATCGTCATCCACATGAATTACGATATCTTCTACCAGATGAGATTTCTTCAAGTCTTCCTCTTGGAGTTTTTCTGCATGCTTCACACATTCTTCCCAGTTCTTTTGCGAAACGTTTGAAATTGCTTCATGCAGTAACAACTTCGACGTCTGCAATTTTAAAAGTGCTGTTTTTAGTGGCAACTTCATTTTTTGCTTGAGCCCATACCAACTCAATTGGGTTATATTGGCAATTAAGCTTACTTCGTGTCCTGACTCCAAAGCTAACTGATCCAATTTGTATATTTTTTCTGTTCGGTTTCGTTGCACCTGTAAATATAATGTTGTTTGTATATTCAACTAAATACTTAAAAGAAAACAAACGTACTGTAAACTTTAAATGATAAAATCTGAAATACCTTTTGTAATAGTTCCGGTTTGAGCTCACTATCACTAAATTCAATCCCGTGTTGGCGGAGCCACTCCTTTTTTAATTTTGTCGACCGCTCTAACACTCACACCACATATCGCCGCAGCAAGTTCACGAGAACGGCAGAAATTAACACACACAACAATGTCGCATTAGCCATTGTATACCGCACCGCCGCCGTGTACCTGCCTTCGATGATTCATTTGTTGTTATCGATAAGGGCGTGGCGTCCGTGCAACATGCTTTCCGCCCTAGCCGGGCTGAGGCCGAGCTATGATTTATGACCCCAACTGCACGGACAAAATAATTTTACTATAGTTCTTTTTTTTTTGTAAACCATGAGCGGTGTTTTCGATAATCGAACACTGGTTTTGTTTAATATAACTTAAAAAAAAACACTGTCATGTGCACACATTGTCAATGTAATTTGAAGTTTATTTCAGAGAAGTATGTAAGTTTATTTCATATTTGCCTAAAAATAGTGACTGTTTTAAAAGGAAATAGAACTGCGTGGCATATTTACCGTTCCAGCTACTCGCGCCCACGCTTTCTACAGCTGTGACACAGGTTTTGTTCTGAATTGTCGATCCAGTAGTATATATAGAAGTCTTCGGCTTTTGAATTTCGTACACTGAATGTGTTGCAGGGTGAAATGGGTATAAGTGCGGTGACGGGGCGACCGGAGCCGCATTACGCGGCGTGGCGTCGTCGCGTGTGGCGCCACTGCGTGTCGCTGCCCGTCATGTTGCTGTGCCTCAGCTTTGGTGCGGCCACCACATTCGCTCTGTTGCGTGCGCAGGTACGTAATAGCGTCCGTTACGTTCGTGACCTTGCCAAACTTAAAAAAATAATACTAATTAATATTAGTATTATTTCCATCCATTACAGCCCATAAAAGTCCACTACTGAACCTAGACCTCCTCCATAGATCGGCTCTTAGAGGATTTTGCAATAGTTTCCATGCTTGGCACGCGGGTTGGCTGTCTGTAGACATCTTTTTTAAAGTTGGCTGCTGGTGTCCATGGACTGCAGTAACCCTTTACCATTAGGCAAATTATAAGTTCAGATTAATAAATAAAAACAAAACTAATCAATTGCGTGAGTGTCGTGGAATACTCGGTAGGAACGAGATTCTTTTCGTAGTATATTATTATTGATAAACGTATTACGAGTATATTATTGACTAACAAATACCAATAAATGAATTACTAGCGTCTATTAAAATGAAGCGTCATTTACAATAATATTTATTCATGGCAAGATAAGAAAAAGTGCGAGGGAGATGGTTATTCAGTCTTGCTCGCACTATAAAAAGGGAGTCGTGACGGAAAAATCTTACACTTTTCTCGCCTAGTCCCCTAGTTCATTAAGGAACTTCTTTCCAAAAACTTTTATCTCCGTAAATATTCTTTAGGATAGTGGTGTTTTTATTGTCCAAGTAGCCCAGATCGTGGTCACATGACAAATAACTTGAACCGTAACAATTAGTCGTGGAAACAAGTTTTTATAATATATGTTCCGTGCGAGATCTAAACTTACGGCCCGCATTGTTTTTATAATAAATGTGAATAATAAAGAAAAAACTAAAATGTTTCTAGGAAATCCGACGTTATTATTTACGATTCTGTTGTTTGCGATTTTGAATAAAATACGTTTAAATTCAGGACTGGTGGGAGAACACAATAGTCTACTTCAGTTGGATACCGCGCGCCTTATTGGCTGTCATAATAGCCGTGGAGGAAGAGGTGTATGCCCGAATTGCGAGATGGTTGAATGACAAAGGTATGTTCTTCGATCTTTAAACATACTATATAGAACCCTCTAATGTAGTAGTCATTCTTGTTCATCCAGTTTAGTTAGTTTCTCTACTTCTGACTTATGACATTGACCGTACCATAGACATAGAGAGAATGGACTGAGCGTTAGCCTCACAAAAGTGACCATTCTTTAGAAAGCGACAAAACGACTATACAGCCAATACCTGTCTCTTTCTTGCAAGCCGAAGGCCGAAGGCGCAGTGCCCCGAAAGAAATATATTTTTTTTTTCATAAATTAGAGGGCCATGTCGGTGGAGAAACTCGGTTGGTGGGAACACGTATATTCCTCTCTGCTCATTAGAACCAAGGTAGTTTTTCTTTCTAATTTTAATTAATACATGCAGTGCAGACGATACTCTTCTGACCGCCAGTGACGTGGACCAATCAGAATTCTAGAAAGAGACAAATACTGGCCGTATATTCGCTTTGTCTTTCTCGCACTTTTCGGTCTATATCACTGCTGTAACTGAATACGGAACGCACGGTCCATTCTCTCTATGTCTATGGACAGTATAGACGGTAGCTGACACCATCATTAATATATTAATACAACTTAAAATTTCAATTTGCCACTCCTTGTAGTGTCACACAATTTGGTCGGTTTTCGGTTTAAATTACGTTACATTTTTTTGTCATTTAAAAATATACAAATAAGAAGACTATAAGTAACTATTTCGTCATTTACTTGTGTTCCCATTTTATTAATATATACACTTAATAGAAATTCGACATTTTCATAAATTCATGGATACCAGAAGAATGTTTATGTTTATGAATTTATATGTCTAATGATTTTTTATATTTAGGCGGATACTATACATTGGATGAAACTGATTTTACGGGACGTGCCCGTAAAATCAGTTTCATCCAATGCCGAGACCTTGGGTGCTGTAAAACGTCAGACCCGTCGGAAATTTAAAGTTAAAAATAATCCCTATAAATTCTGTAAAATTAGTTTTTGTCAATTTATATGCCCATTCGAATAGATGTTTCTCTTTGTCTGTATTTGTGTATATTGTATTGAATTGTAAAATAATATCAGCAAATAATTAAAGCAAAGACTGCCTTTATATTTTGAAATTTATTTTAAGTATAAAAGGTCAATGAAGTTATTGAATTTCGAAAGATTTTTGTTTTCTAAAGCGATAACTTAATATTATTATTTTTCCTTGAAATATAAGGGCCGTCTTAATATTACTATTAAAAGATAGTGTGTCGATTTTTTATAATTTGAATATAGCTAACGTAAACGAAATCTAAAATGATTACAAGCCTCGACTATTGCATGATGTCATACTTTTGTGATATTTCCTTCCTAATTATTATTTAATCTGTCTTCTAGCACAGTCCAGCGTAAATAGTTATTACTAGAAATAGATTAAGTAGACAACTAATACGGAATTGTAGACAAGTGTACTATAGCCGCTATTTATTTTTCTCTTTACTGCTTACCAAATGGAATTGGACAACAAATAAAAACCACAACTCTTTATACGACGGTAAACCGAAATACTTCAATCAATTATCGATTGCTTTAAATCCCCACAGAAAACTATCGACTCGAGACAAAATATGAGAATCATCTGATTGTGAAAATAGCATTGGTTTGTATTTACAGATGCTGTAAAAAGCTAATTCGGCGCTTTGCTTTCCATTATTAAAAAAAAATAACTTCAACACTCATAATTTGGTACATAATACCAAATAACATAAGCGCACAACACATTTCACAACAACGCATTTAAAACGCACGCGTTTATAGTTCACTTGCATGTCTTTTTACCATAAACTTAGTTATAGCATGCAGTCATTCTAGCGATTATTTTCTAATTATTTTTGAATCATTGTCATTAACTAACTTATATACGTGGGTCCTGAATCTATTGGATGTTCTTACAAAATTAATAATTCTTGATTTTACTCATAGTATTTTTTTTTTAATTAGTGAAAAGGTATTGATTGTAACTATTTAGTATGTGACATTAATGACTTTCACTGTTACACGTGTATATTATATGAAAAAGGTGGAATTAGAGTATTATGTATCAAAATGTATCCACGTTATGTTTACATATGTAAACATAACGTGAATACATTTTAAAGATATTTCTGATACGCCTATATAGGTGTATCAGAAAACCAGAAAATGCTAATAAATACGCCTTTATTGCATATTGTAATTGTCTACCTTAATATTATGAATAAGAAAGGTATAATGCGTACGTGCGTGCGTGCGTGCGTGCGTGTGTGCGTGCGTGCTTGCGTGGGTAGACGAATCACACCCGTATCCAATCTCTTATTAAAAAAACCAACATGGCATTAGACTCATAAAATTAGATTTCATTACATTTTGATGTCACTGTCACACTCCGTCGTATTACAAAACGTAGTTTATTGATATTCTTGAGTTTAAAGTATGGTTTCAGAGGAGGCCTTCTAACTAAAGAAGTCGTTTAGTCTTCACGAAATGGGACATTAATTTGTTGAAAAAAAAACAACATTTTAGTACGCATATTTCTGCGAAAATCCTTAATCGAAACGGATCCTAGTGTAAACCTGGGAATAATAATTATAAACTACCTTTTGAAATAAGGCCGATAGTGTGTTTCATATAATTATTATTTTTCATTACATAATATATTCGTTTATAATTTTTGATGTCGCTTTGTATGTATGAAGGTTGTTCTTATTTTTAAAATAACACAAACTATCGATTTTATTTCCAGTTTCAATTTGTAAACTCGTTTATGAGTTTATTCTACATTGCGTTTTACCTTCAGGATATGGATAAGCTGAAAGAGGTAAGTGAACAATGTATTAACATTAATAATATTATTAGAATTTAGATTATTTCTGATGCTATAAAGTACTCCCAAAATTATTTTAATAAAAGAATTTTACTTGGTAACAACTTTAGGTAAACCGTTAAAAGTAAAGACAAGATAATATAAAATTATTTAAAGTAGGTATGCAAATAAACAGAAATACTGCATATCAGGATGTGACACAGGGCAGCGTTTCCGCAATATAACTTTCTTTACATTTACTGAAAGAATTATCACAACGGTCATAATCACGACAATGTGCAATACTCGTAGAATGATTAATTCAAGTTAGTCTCCTGCGTCGTACTTGATACTGTTGTAATAAGTGGGAGATTAGAATTCTACCCTCACTTCTTCGTATTTTCGTTTATTTTCTACCGTCATTCCTAACAATATAGATAAATAAAATGTAATAATATGGCGGTGTAAGGATATCTACTACCCCATATCGTCTGGTAGATGTCGTAAGAGGTGGCAGAGGTAAACAAGCTAAGAGACGAGCAGTGGCGTCTTTCTAAACAACTAGAAAATATAAAATTGCGGTTGCCAACCGGCCTGCTAAGCGTGGCAACTATGGCAAAAAATTATGAGACAGTTAAGCAGTGAACTTTATTAGCCTGAAATGGATAGATGGATAAAATTCTAAAAGACCTATGACTCAGTATGCTTCTGACCATTGATAAAAAGGGAACGTTAATAGAAGGTATACATATACGAGGGAGGCACTGAAAATTTCGGGAATCAAGGAAGTGATACAACATTACTATTTAAAAATGTATTTATTGCTTTTCGAAGTATTCTCCGCGAAATTTGACACATTTTCCCATACGATGGAACCAATCATTGAAGCAACCATTCCATTCGGAAGTTGGGGTCTCCAAAATGGCCGTTTTGTAGGCGTCCACAGCTTCTTCAGGTGATGAAAATCTCTGTCCACGCAATTTATTCTTTATTTTAGGGAAAGTATAGAAATCATTAGGGCTTAGGTCAGGGCTGTACGGCGGATGGTCTAACAATTCTATGTTTTCTTGCTCTAAAAACTCTTTTGTTCTGTGTGCGGTGTGAGAACTCGCATTGTCGTGATGGAGGATGATGCGGCGGTTGCAGTTCTCTTTACGGAGTTCAGAAACGATCTGTGGCAAACAAATGCTAGCATACCATTCTGCATTAACCTTTTTGTTCTTTGTCCCTCAAGAGGAATAGTCGTAACATGGCCGGTTTTGGAGACAAACGTGGCCACCATTTTTTTTGCAACACTCCGTGAACGAACAATTTTTGTTGGCTTTAACTCATTTTCGAACACCCAAACTCGTGACTGGTTTTTTGTTTCGGGTTCATACGCGTATATCCAGGATTCGTCACCAGATACGATGTTGTATACAGCATTTGAGGATCCTGCGTGGAATCTTTCGAGAGTTCTGACACACCAAGTAACGCGAGCCGCTTTTTGCTCTTCACAGAGCGAATGCGGTATCCATCGGGAAAACAACTTTTTTACACCTAATTGTTCATGCAAGATTATTTGTATTTGACTCATGCCAATGTCTAAAGTTGCCTGAATTTCGCGGTATGTCACATGTTGATCTTCCTCAATCAGCTTACGCACAGCATCAACGTTTTCTTGGGTGACTGCAGTTTTTGGACGACCTTGACGGGGATCATCACTGAGCTTGCCACGTCCACGTTGAAATTCAGCAAACCAGCGATAAATTGTAGTTTTGGATGGGGCTTCATCACCAAATGCAGAAATCATCACACACTGTTTTTGTGTTAAACCACTTCGAAAGTCATAATAAATCATCGCTCTTGAAATTTCTCGACTCAATTCCATTTTCTCAACGACTAAACAAGTTTGATAAAACCTTGTGACAAGACCGAGAATCTTTTTAAAAAAAATGGTATTCGATTTTTAAAACCAAGGAGTTTTCAATTAAAAAGATTTTAATATGACAGGAACAGTGGAAATATTCCATTCCCGATACTTTTAGTGCAGCCTATGTATAAAAAGTGACCGAAAGATGGATGGCTTTTTGCCAGATTAAATAGTAATTACTCATCATCATCATCATTACAGCCCTTCACAAGTCCACTGCTAAACATAGACCTCCCCCAAGGAATGCCACAAAACAAGGTCCCGAGCTACCTGCATCCATCGACTTCCTGCATGTCTTACCAGGTCGTCGCTCCATCTAGTGGGGGGACGCTTTACACTAGTCCGCCGGTACGAGGCCGCCACTCGAGAACCTTTTTACCCCATCGATTGTCGGTTCTTCGAGCTATATGGCCCGTCCATTGCCGCTTCAACCGAGTTGAATCCGTCGATTGACCTCTCGGTCGAAGTTGGACTTACCTAGCCGGACAATTTGTCTCAGGTTAACATACTCGTCAACAACTTCGAGCTTAGTGCTCCCAACGACTACCGGCATAGGTGTGACATGGACGTTACACATGAGTTACTATTGCTTAATAATTTCTTTATATTATATTACCAGTCTTAGTTTAAGACTAGTAAGTTCTTCTAGTGAAGACCTAATAAGAAATGCAGAAAGTCGATAGATGCAAGTGGATCAGGGCCGTGCTTTGTACGCTGTAGTGATGATGATGAAACTCTTGAAGCTTGAATTTCAATAATATCTGTTTTAGCAACTAGCTGTGTTACTCATAACGAGGCAAATAATCGGCAATCTGAAGGAGTCCGCCTTGCCGTATTTGATTGAGAATCTAAGATTGGCGAAAATATGTGTGGACGTGTTTGGTGCGATGAGTCCTAGTAAAAGTGAGTTATTGATTCGAGTTTTGGTTTTTCCGAGCGTATTCCACCCTTAAATTCATTTAAAAAATTTATAGCATATCTTAAGCTGTGTACCTTTGTAATTTTTTTTTACAGAATAAATGTGACAAATGAGCACAGAGTCCACCTGATGGTAAGTGGATGCTGTGGCCCATAGACACCTACATTCATCCTCGATTGAGTATTTTTTTATAGGATAATGGTGACAAACTAGCACAGAGTCCACCTGATGGTAAGTGGATGCTGTGGCCCATAGACACCTACATTCATCCTCGATTGAGTATTTTTTTATAGGATAATGGTGACAAACTAGCACACAGTCCATCTGATGGTAAGTGGTTGCTGCGGCCCATAGACATCTATATCTATCCTCTATTACAAATCAAAGTGTAGATGCGTTGTCACCCGTGAGGAATAAGATGGAATGCCTCATTTCCAGTAAAAAGGGCCAAAGTGTAGATTCGTTATTGTTCCTGAGGACTAAGGCAGAAGGCCTCGTTACCAGTAAGAAGGGTCTTCGGTTCACTATATCCACCATACGAACACAGAAGTTTTTTTCTTAACATTCTTTGATAGTGTTCAAGTGTTTTGACATAACTGTCGTTTAATTATCCAACTACTACCACAGTCTAACTACTACTCACAATCGGTCATCGAAGGCGTCTAGACGGGGCAATCGCGCGGCTCCCGAGGCGCGGGCGGAGCACTAACGGTCCGCTAGGGTTGTCCTGTCACGCAAATAAATTAAAATGGTTCACACTACATGTGCGCTAAAAACTGTGGGTCGTCTTCATTTAAAGATAAGGAATTAAAGTTTCATCAGTTTCTACATACACAGGAATTTGTTTAAACGTGAAATAAACTAAAATCAGTTTTTTATTTTTTTATTACATCGCGTTCTGACAACCCTAGTAATTCATTGTTCATGTCGGTTTTCCGACAACATAAAACGCATTGACTGACTGTAGTTTGAAGGGCCAACAGAGATTTAGACTAAATATGTACATAAATATTTTGTAAATTTCGAGACCTATAAGAATTTCAATTTTCTTACCACTTTGGCCGTAGTAACAAAAGAGGTGATCTCCTGCTGGTCAAGGTGATCAGCCTGGAGAGCGGCCAACGGTCATTGTAGTAGTACAGAGCTATTCTGTATATTATATATCACAATATCACATTTTCATCGAAGTATTCGTTAACATTTATTTTATTAATTAAAGGATTATTAGTGCTGGATTCGAATGAAATTAATATATTCGGTGTTTTAGTACCAACATCAACACAAATAACAGAGATGTTCGAAAAGAGGACTAATTCGAGCGGGGAACCGCCGGAGACACTACTCAATGGCGGGGCTGATAACGAGATGGAGAGACGAGACTCTGAACCCGTTGTGGGACAGAAGGTCATACATCAAGCCGAATTGGAGTCGCAGTTGTTTAAGGTGAGCATATTAATATATACAAGCGACAACAGTTATGTTCTTGACATTGGCAGTATGTACGTAAACAACGATTTAATTTAATATGTTTGTATTAGGCATGGGACGAGTACTCGGTTTGAATTCGGTACTCGGCGGATTCGGCCTTTTTTTAGGGTTCGGCCGAGCACCGAGTATTAACGGCCGAGTACCGAGTACTCGGCCTTAATTATATTCCAGAAAAAAACAAAGACAAAAAGCCAGTTTTTATCATTATTATTATATTAGACACATTAAAACATCAGGAACATGAGAAGCAGCAGAAATATTCAGAATGTACATAAGAATCTATAATAAAAATTACTATTACTAATATATAAAATTTAAGAGAGGAAGTTTGTGATGCAAAAATACTTGTTTTTCGGCCCTATTTGGGTCTAGTTTGTAAGGGAAATAACCGCACGCCGCCCGCTAACGCGTTTTTTTTTACAGCAGTTTTCGGCAGAGTACTCGGTCCAATCTAGGCAGAGTACTCGGCGAATCACTACTCGTTTAATGTCTAGTTTGTATATAAGTATATAAAATAATTATATAAAAATTTTAGCTTTCTGCCCTCAGTTGAGGCAAATATCCGCTTTATGAGGCAATCTATGGCCCTTGATCAGAGGTTATTAATCAGCAGTAGGCTTTTGATAACTGTGTTTTGACAGCGAGTGTCTAGGAGATTTAAGGCAAATCCTTCCTGTAACGGGAGAGGCATATGTACAGCTGAGGTTTTTTTACCGGCTGATAAAACAGAAGATGGCTTCTTCTCTACTAGCCGAATTTTTATTTTCGCTATTAATTTTAGAATATGAAAATGTAGCTACCAATCTCCTGTAACTATTTCTCTGTGTCACCTCTTACGACACCCACGAGACAATATAAGGTAGTGGGTATGTTCACGCTGGTACTAGCCAGCGATTTGTTGTTGCATTCGCGATGTTCGGTGTAAGTGGGTGGTGTGGAGAGCGATCCGAGCGCGGTGTCGGTGTGGGTGTATGGTGTACGGTGTGTTGTGTTGCGGTGTGCGCAGTACGAGGGCACGTTCGCGGAGTACCTGGAGATGCTGACGCAGCTGGGGCACGTGGTGCTGTTCTCGGCCGCGTTCCCGCTGGCGGCGCTGTGCGCGCTGCTCAACAACGCGGCCGAGGTGCGCGCCGACGCCTTCAAGCTGTGCCACGTGGCGCAGCGCCCCTTCGCGCAGCGCGTCTCCAGCGTCGGCAGCTGGCAGGTACTGCACGCACACGCGCGCGCGCTCACACACATGTGTACACACACGTTGGCAGGTAGCACACGCACACACCTACATCTGTGCTTGTTTTTTTATTAAGATTTTGGCTTGGATGCTTGTCCTTTAAGCCATGTCTTCACTTCATTCGGGATCTTCGTTTTTATATATTTTCAGTACCAAGTGATAATAATCCTTTATAGTACACGGCTTCACAATATGTTGATACGTCACATTACCTAGGTTTTGGGAGTTTTTGACTGCAGCAAACAGTTGGCGATAGTATCTCAGGGCGCCTAAGCAGACAGACACCTTATGTTAAGATTCACATCACCATCAGAGCACTTGTTTCACCGTCTCCACTAATAGTTCACATACTCAGAAATTGAATACACAAAATGGCACCACTTTTACTTATCAAAATCCACTTCAAACCATTATTTAAATAATACAGGAACAGTAATCAGCCGCCGGTGAAGTTCCCGCCAAAACCTACTGTACTCTTTTAACAATCATCCTTTACAGTCTATAAAAGTCCATTGCTGAATGAGCCCCCTTCCATAGAGTAGAGTTGATAGTAGATGGGATTTTTCCTCTGACGCCACTTACGCCACCCACGGGACGATATGGGGTGGTTATTCTTACTCGCCACTACACGGTTACATAAACAACATAATCAAAATGGAATGCCTCGTTACCAGTAATATATAGAGTGTAGAGTAGAAGGAGAACTATCTTTATAAGGTGCGAAAGTTGAAAAAGTGTCCCACTATATACTGAAAATAGAGGTTCCAAAACCTACCACAATAGCGCTAGCATCTGAAAAACTACGATATGAATATAGCTGTTGTAGACGGAGTGAAGTCAGCTGAATTCAAATATTTAAAAATTTTCATGTCTAGAGTAGTTATTAAAATGCCAGTATACAAAACCTCAACTATTTACGTAGTACAAAACCAAGCGGATTGGTCGGTCCCTGTTTATTTCTCCATCTTATTCTAATTTTGGCGCTTTTCTTAAATTTATCCTATGCTACTGCAGCGCCACCCTTATTGGACGCGTTTTAGGGACACTTTTCATATATAGAGATGATCCTCCTTCTACTCTACACTCTATACAGTAATAAGAGTCTCAGTTCTGTACACTCACCATACGAAACTCAGCAGTCAAATAACAACGCATTCTACATTTTGATTCTTTATTGAGGATAGATGTAGATGTCTATGGGTCACAGCAACCACTTAACATCAGGTCGTATGTGTGCTCGTTTGTCATCCTATCCTATAAAAAAGCAGCTTTACACTCATTGATGTATCAGTTTTAAAAAGATCGCTAAAAATGCGCGGGAAGTTACCACACTATATACAACTAAACACAGATCAAGATCAAGATCACAGATCTTGACCCATAGATAATAAAACCGAAATTGCGACATTCGCGGCTGACTGTATTTTAAAGCCCGCTGAGAAGTCTTCTATTTGCGCGTGTCAGTGTGCGTGCGTCGATTCTGACGTTTGTAAAGATTTGACTTATTAGCTTTAGCTATATATTTTTATTGTGACAGTCCTCCATGATGATAAGTGAATATTGTGACCCAAAGATACCGACACCCATCCTCGTTAATATATGTGTAATATGTTAGAACAAGTGAGTGCATCTGTGTTTTGGCACCATTGTCGTATTGCTTCACGTCCCGTTATGTGATAGCCAATTCACCTGCCTAACCTGATGATTACCGAAAATTCTTCCTTCAACGGTCTTAGCCCATATCCTAGCAGTAGATTGTAAAGGGCTGACAAAAAGAAGTTATTGTTTTGCACCAACATTCAAATCATTTAATTTTACTTTTAGCATGCAATGGAAGCAATGGTTGCAGTAGCTGTTTTGGTTAACTGCGCACTTATCGGACTTTCCGGTCCCGTGCATAGACTGCTTCCAGATGCAACGCCCGCACAAACGATATTGGTCATTGTAGCGTTAGAGGTACGGTATATTTTGAAATAATGTCACTATTATAAAATATTAATAGTAGAGAATTTCTGCTGTGCAAATCCTTGTAAATTAATAACAACAGAACAACTTAAAATACTGCATACTAGTGATGTTAAAAGTTCACCTCCTGTAGGGTTGTCACTTTTTTAAATTAAAAATAAAATCGTTTACTTTTATAGCAATAATGTCTCACTTTTTCGGGTTTATTTTTTACAGCTTGTAATACAAGTTTTGAGAAAGGTGATAGATAGTATCATTAATGCAAAATCAATGTCTATTTTAAAAGAATATTTATCTTATTCTGTGTCGTAACTTACGACTCGTAAGTCATAATACGGTTTTACAAAATTAAATAAAAAAAATCACTACGACGTATGAGTGGCAACCCTCATCTTATCCCGAGAGTGCTGGTTCATTTATTGTGATTATTGAAGGAAGAAATATCCAGCTACCTTATTCTTCTTGTTTCCAGCACGTTGTCCTCGTTATAGTGCTAGCGCTTCGTATCGCGATACCCGAAATACCGGCCTGGCTTGCAACAGAGATGGCTAAAGTGGAGTTTCAGAGGAGAGAGGCCATTAAAAATGCTCACGCGCCACTTTTGGTAAGTTTGTGAAATATTTTCATGCATAAGTTAGAAATAAATGTCTTTCAAATTATTTACTCTCATAATTTATAAAAAGACGCGTGTAGCGCGCATTAGAGAAAGCAGTTCTTCTATTAAAATCAAGCTGCCGAAAAAGATTAGTCAATTTTTATCATCCGTCAAGTGTCATATTCCTCTACAAGATGTAGGTGTGTATAAGCTGGATTGTGAATGTGGTCTCTCGTACATAGGACAAACAAAAAGATCTATAAAATTCTGCCTAAAAGAACATATAGCTGACTTGAAGCACCGACGTTCCGGGAAGTCTGCAATCTGTGAACATGTTCAAGATCGTCCCCGCCATTACATTAGATGTGATAGACCACAAATCATCACAACAGGATTATTTGCAAGGCTATTGAAATTTAAAAAAAAAACACCCTAATTTCAATAGAGAAGTTAGATAGGTGCTGCTGTGATTAATAAAATTAAATCCAAACCCAAGCATACCACGGCAAGACTTCAAGATATTATAAGCTCATTGTGCGTAGATCAATTCGTGAACCAGTACGGACTGGAAATAGCAAATAAAATTCGCCGATTAGAAGATCCCATGACTAAGCGCGCAAGATATATAACATGTTTAAAGGAGATGAACTTGTTCCATACAAGCTTGGGCCCGGGGTGAACAAAGTTAAAATAAATCTTATTTTGAAGATTTAAACATTTGCTATTTCATTCAAAAATCATATTTTTGTATGGCCCGGGGATTTGTTTTTATTTTATGTTTTATTATTTTTAGGTTATGTAATAAAATCACTCGTTCCTGTGATATGTTGTTTAAATAAATCGAAAAGGACAGAAAATAATGCAGTTTTGTAGTTAATATGAAAATAAAGCATTATAAATTAACCTTTTTTAATTTTTTAATTATATTCTGCAATTATTAATAAAATATCATCTAGAAAAGCAGCCGTAGGCTGTAACTTATCTGTTCTATTCTTCAAAAAACCAAAGTACCACATTATTGTCACTATCTGGGCGCAACAATCTACTGTCCTGTAATGCGAGAGAAATGTCAAAAATCAAGTTTTCAAGAAAAATAAAAACACGAAATATACTATCCACAAATACAACCACAATATCAAATGCGAATGAAAAGTTGAAACTCGAAGTTATAAAGTTAAATCTTCTTCGGAACAGGCAATGACCAACGACCATACAGCCTATTCAATCGTATCAGATATTATTCAAATATGTTTTTAGTTAAATAAAATGGTATATTCAATTGATTTCTTGAATTTAGTAATAATCTCTAGAGATTCGCATAAATATTTTAATATTATGATTTCTTTGATAATGAAGACTTATTTTAAAAAAAAATAGCCTTCATTATCGAATGCCATAGACATTAAATACAGAAATATATTTAAAGATGTTTTGTTTTTGCTATGGTAAAAGCGTTAGTTTTCGTTTTTTAGTTTTAAAAAATGGTATTATGAATGTCCCATGAATTACAGAAATAAAAACCTTTTAATTATGCTTATAATCTATCGTCTAATTACCTTCATATTTTTTTATAACTTACGAACGATGTCAAGCACCCAATTTCATACATCTCCTTTCTTGAAGATATGCAGATATCATAATCACATTCCTGCGTGTGTCAAAATATCAATAAAAAAGAACATTCAAGGAAGCTAAAAAGAAAAGATAAAAGAAAAACTTCGAGGAAAACGTTTTATGGACGCCAAGAAAGCAGTGGCTGCGTTTCAAAATGCCGTCGAAGAGAGCCCTAAGGACGAGTGGGCAAAGTGCTTTTCTTAGTGGTTCCATCGGATGCAGCGATATATTGATGTAGACGGACACTATTTTGAAAAGATATAATAAAACTAATAACTGCTAGTTTGTTCAGTTTTTGATTTTCTACGAACTTTCAGTGTCACCCTCGTATTACACTTAAAACAACTACCGATTCAATAATAAATACTCCGAAAAATTAAATCTCGACGTGAATTCGACAATATCAACATGTGCCAAACTACCGAGGTTGTATGGGTTACCGAATATCTGTTCATCTGTTTGGGATCCTATAAATTAATAATATTAAAATTTATTTAAATATTATATTATATTATAATATTATATATTATATTTAAATTTATATTAAAAAATTAATAATATTAAATCCAAACCCAAGCATACCAATCACTGCAAGACTTCAACATACTATAAGCTCATTCTGCGTAGATCGGACCAAAAATTAATATTCAAAAACTGAAGATAGCCAGGCTAATCATGACCTCGAGACGTTAAACACCTCAGTCCCCGCGTGACCATGGGTGCTGTAAAGCACCCGAAACGCTGGGAATTAAAAAGTTAAACGCGATAGAATCCGTAAAAATTAGTTTCATTTAATCAAAGTTCTGCTTCTATGACTATCAGCTAGAAATAATACTGTGTTATTTGTGACGAAACTAGTCATAATAACAGCCCATTCACAAGTTGACTGCTGAGCATAGTCCTTCCCTAGAGACTGCACTTGCGTGTATCCACGTCCTCCTCCATGTTCATATAGTAGAAAGTCATCCTTTACTAATGTTGTTGGTACACTATTCTACCATTCAAGAGCACGGTATAGTCTGTTCGCTTGAATACCGTCGCCATTGTGTCGCGCCGCCTTAGCATGTACCGCATTTTGTCAAAGGCACCGCTTCGACTTCAAACGTCGCCGCGTGCGGCGTACACCAACAGGAGAATGTGACATTTAAAAACAAAGCGCCATAGTGAAAGGTTCTTTGCTAACTAACTTGTTTTTATTATTTATATTCGTATTTTATTACAATAACCATCAGAATAAATAGAATTCTATATAATGATTTCTTATATTTACGCGAACACTACACATTTAAATAAAACTAATTTTACGGATTTAATTTAATAATTTTTAATCTGTTGGTAGCCGTGGTTAACTATGACATTGGGACGTGATACACCTCAGTCTCCCCCGTGACCATGGGTGCTGTAAAGTGCTTGAAACGTCGGGAATGTAAAATAAGTTAATATACGCGATAAAATCCGTAGAATTCTATTTTATTCTTATATAAAATAGAACACTATTTTATTCCTATAATACTAATAACACAGTAAAAAATAATAAATAAATGCAAAATAATAAGTGCGCCTCCAGGTGTACCGACACTATCTTAGTGAACATACTATACACTGGTACACTATTCAAAACTCATTGATTAATGTTCCATGAAACAAATAAATAAATGTATTTTCGTTATATATATATATATATATTACTATTCGATTATTCCGCTCGATGTGTAATATTCGCGATATTATATTTAATAATCGCTGTGGTCGGAAACAGAACAACATAATTGTTTATAATTTTCAGTCGGAATGTCCAAGTCAAGACGACGTAAGACCGTCGTCTCGTACTACGCCGCGAACAGTCACACCGACCACACCCAAACAAAACGACAAGCCACCGAAACGTGTATTCGTTGGCAAGATACCCGAAATACCCCCATTCAGGTAAGCTCTCATCAATTTTAACCTTAAACTTATCATCTTTAAACAAACAATCATCTTTAGTTACAATTATATGTATTTTCTTAATTCTAAATTGATATTTTCTACACATAAATTATGATCGAAAATTTGGGTACAATATGAAACTTTAATTTGCCTTATTGGATAGATTCTTCGATTAATCGGAAACTTTAAGTAATTATGCAAGTGAAATTTTATTCGAGTAAACCCGGGATTTTTTATTGTCATAAATTATTTCAAAGGTCAAATCTATATTCTAACTTCGCAACTTTAGAAAGAATTCTACCCAAATATTTGATTATTAGTAAATGATGTGTGAATAAAATAATGCAGTGAGGATGTTCACAGTTTGCTCGAACCTGAAGAAAAATACTTGCGTGTCATACATAAATTGGCTTTGCATGAAATGTGAACCAAAGACTTGCAACACTAGTCGGATTCAATGTTCACTAAAGTATACGGCCATAGAATAAATGTTTCAATAGTATTGTACCCCAGGGTTAGTACTCGTAGGGTACAATACCCTACGCTAGGTTATGGAGACACATAAGCAATACCCTAGTAGCCAAATTAATATCTTGTTTTATAAGAACATTTAATTGTCCATACATCGAATGGCTAATTTGCGAACACAGTTCTAGAAATTGTCCTTTATTGATGCTAAGTTTTTAAAGTCTCATAATCGGTATGAGTATCACGCTAATCTCTCAACGAGTGTATAAGGTATAGTGAAATTGTTTCGATCCGAAACATTCTGTTTCGAATGAGGGTACACGTCGATAATAAGACATATTATAATGTATTTTTAAAATATTTTAAATAAATTGTGTTTCATATTTTTCTGTCATCAATCCGTAAAAGTCTTATAATGGGTACGCGACTCTTTCGAAAGGCTTCCAATGCCATTATCGCCATATGGCTGACAGATTGGCCAACGCATTAACCCATTAATCCATCCGAATACAATCTGGGCGTCTTCAAGGCAAGAGTGAATTGGCTTTTGTTACGATAAGACAGTGCGATATACCATCTAAGGGTGCATCACCACTTACCAGGTGGGAGTGTGATCAAGCACTGGCTTATAATAAGTAAAAAAAATAATAGATTTATCGCACCTTTCACACTACTCCTCGTCCCCAGTCTGGATATAGTGCGCCAGGCGTTAACGAGATGATTATATTGCTTCCTGTCAGTGACCATAATACCTGGTTCAAATCACAATCACGAAGGATGCCTCTTTACGACTCCAGCGGAGGAAAATGTGGTGACAGATTTTATTACTCTACCGCCGTACGGCAAATTTACTACTTTAGAATTTTATAAACTTCAATGCAGATGCGTAGTTTTTAAGATGTATTTATAATAATGTAATTTCACCAACCGTCAATAAAAAGCGCTCTTGCCTTAACCTTATTTCTACGAACTTTTAACGTAATATTTTACTGTCGGTCCAGTGCTGTTTAAGAATCGAATCTATATTTTTATTTTATAATATAATTATTTCGTGAAATAATGTTAAGGCAGCGCTTTGCATTGATATCAAAAACGAAATCTGTCAAAAATTTTTCGTTTTTTTTTTTTTGGATATATTTTAAAAGCACATGATGACAATTTTATATGTTCAATAAATATGTTCTACTTCAGGGATGATCCTATATCAATTTGGAGAAAATATTCAACTCCTAAGGATTGAAAAATAAGATATGAAGTTTTTAATGTAACTCTAAACGAAATTCTAGTAGTTACCTTGAGGGTGTAAAAAGGGTCAAAAAATAAAATTTATTAACTGAAACTAATTATACGGATTTTATCGCGTTTAATTTAAACTTCTTTAATTCCCAACTTTTCAGTTGCTTTTTAGCATCCATGGTCACGAGGAGCAGTGAGGAGGGTGTGCCCGATATCGCAGTTAGCCCAGCTACCTTCTGTTTTTGAATATTAATTTTTGGTCCGATCTACGCAGAACTTCAAAAACTAAAGATGCCGGGTGAACTATGACATCGTGACGTCAATCGCCTCAGTTCTCCACGTGACCATGGGTACTTTAAAGCACCTGAAACGTCGTCAATTAAAAAGTTAAAATTCGTAAAATTTGTTTCATTCAATGCGAAGTGTTCACGTAATTATAAGAAATCATTAAATTAAACTTAATAAAATTCAACCGACAAAAGCCGACATCAAATAAATAAAAAATTTAAAATACTCGTAATTTCTACTCTTTAGCTTTTGAAGTCGAGGCTTCTTCTATACACAGTCTCAGCACCGACTTCTGTAACTTTTTAGTTTTAGTTCTTTGAAGTCGGCTTTTACTTTTACTTATTTTTAAAAGATTTACTTTTGGAACTAAGAATTGTAGTGATATTTTAGCATACCACAAAGTAATAAAGTGTAATGCATAAAAATTGATATACGAATGGCAACACTGTACGTTCTTGACACGTGCACGCCTTCGTGTGCGCTTATGAGAACGCATGCATAGATGTGTCCGTGCTTAATTGAATGCGCGCTTGTTTGATTGTTTAGAGCTGCCAACTAAAGATTGTACAAGGCGTTTGCGATTATTACTTAATAATATTAAATTTATTACCAATACATTTTTGACAGATTCGTTAATCATTGTTATGCTCGTTAGTAATTTGAATAACGACACACCGGTAAGGGTTTTTAAATTTGTTTTATTCTTTTGATTTCAGTTAATTTGACACAAGTAAAATATGCCTGGATGGGTGTGTAGTTACGAAGTGTATATATTTAAATTAATGACGCATTCCAATAAGTCAGTATTGACATTAATTTATGCTTATTCGAAGAAAACCTTTTTATTTTATTATTTCCTATTGTGAATAAATATGCGCTTCGATTTAAAGTTATTCTGCCTCTCGATGTTTGAACCTAAAAGCAATAAAAGTTTATAATGTGTAATAAATGTTTTAAATGTAACGAAATAAATGTTTACCCTATTACAACTTATCATGTAACATGTTAAATATATCAATAAATACTGCCACTTTTAAAGGCTTCTTTCGCATTGTGTTCTTTATTTAATAAAAGTCAAGTTCATAATAAAGCAATTATATGAGAGTAAGTTTTTAATTAGTGTAAAAGTTTTAAGGTAATATATTTTTATTTTTTGATGCAATTTTAGGGAACGTTTCACAAATACGGTTTTTTGAATATCTGTATAAATTGAATCTTTAATAAATCGTTAATCACTTACGTGGGTTTTTAAAATATCTTGTGAAACTTCTCTAATATTTGTGTTTCTTTAGCTTGTTGAAATTAATAAGAAATATATTTTTATCACCTCATTCACATTTATATCTATTCAATGTATAACCACGTTCAATGTATAAGCACATTTATCCGTAACCACCTCGCTTCATGTGGCTATTAGCTTTGATGATTTTATGATAATATCACATAACAACGCAACTTTAGATAGTTTGACATTTAGTTTTGACAAACTGTCATTTTGACATTTCGAACACAGATTAAAATAAAAATGTGTGGTATTAAAATAAATCATGAGTCATGCGTCTCTCTTCCCCTCTCTTTCTTTTTATTAAAATTTTAATTGGAAATAAAAGTGGATGTCAAAATTTCCAGACCAAAAGCGGCGTCTATAACAGAGCCGGCAGTGAGTACAGGCTCATTGCAATTGCTACAAGATGTCAGCCCTACGAAACCTGTAAGACGTAAGGTAAGCTAACTTCAGTTGTACGTCTCAGTACGCGAATTAAATCTCTTTTATTTTTGTTTTTATTAACCCCCCACGCAAAAAGATGGATGTTATAAATTTGACCGCTATGTGTGTATGTCTCTCTGTCTGTGTGTCGTCGTAGCTCTTAAACGGGTGAACCGATTTTGGTGCGTTTTTCTAAATATTTAAAAGCAGGTTTTCTAGCGGTGGTTCTTAGACTTCTTAGATTATATAGTTCTTAGACTTATCAAAATCGGTTCAGCTGTTCGAAGAGCATCAGCTCTTTTCGCTTCGGGGGTTTTTTAAATTTTCAATTTAAATTATATTATTATGCACCTACATGGTAAAAGAAATACACGTTCCGAACTAAGAACACACTTCAACAAACTGCCCCGATATTTTTTAATACACATGCTGTAAATTGTTTGCGTTAATCCTAACACTTATGTTTGCACACTATCGATCTGTTGCATCCCTAAAAAATACCTCGTATGCTTATCGCCTACTTACCAGCGTACCTTCTCAGCAAGCCCTGTCATTATCCGTCTATCCGGCCGCTATTACAACAAACCGAAAAATATACAAGAAAATATACAAGGTCTCTCTTAAAAAAACTTAATAAAAATAGTTATTATAATATAAATTATTTATTGTTTAACATGTTTGTCATCAATAATTCTGTACCTGTTTGTGATGAGAAAATAAATATAAATTCTATTTTATTCTGTTACATGGTTGATTATAACCCCTGGGAAATGAGGTGATCGCATCCAAGCTGTTTCGTATATGAGTGTTGTAAATAATTATACAACCTATTTTACATTTTATGTATTGTATTTAAACGTGGTAGAGCCATGCTGCAGCTATATTAATAGTATAGTTGTAGCACGAATGGGTAGGCTCGACCGGGGAAGGACTACGCTCTCACAGAATACCATCGTAAAATAGCAGCTTAACGCTGATGTGTCTCGTATGGTGAGTGCAGAGAACCGGAGACCCTTTTTACTGGAAACGAGGCATTCCATCTTAGTCCTCACGGGTGACAACGCATCTGTATTTTGTTTTGTAATCGAGAATGGATGTGGATGTCTATGGGCCGCAGCAACCACTTACCATCAGGTCGACTGTGTGCTCGTTTGCCACCCTTATCCTATAAAAAAACAGACTGATGTTATCTGTAGTTGTCGCCGTAGAAGGCCGTCCCACACGCAGATCATCGGTGAAATTAGTGCGACCACGCTTAAACTCATTAAACCAGTTGTCAACACAATTTGCCGCCAATTTGTAAACAGAGGACAAATTAATAAAATAAATACACAATAATATTGGCAAAGAGTTCTATTGTCAATTATTCAAATATAAAATTTCAATAATTTTTTTTTAATTAAGTATATCGTTTATCAGGGATATCGTGTTTAGCAGGGATGGTAGATATGATAAGGATATAGAACGACGAGTGAATGCAAGAAATAGAGTGAATGGGGCTCTACACTCTATTGTGAAAAGTCAGAATGTGTCCAAAAAGGCACGTATGGCAATTCACAGTGCTGTGTTAGTACCTACTTTAATGTATGGTAGTGAAAGTTGGGTGTGGCAGAAGAAGCATGAGAGTAGAATAAATGCTGTAGAAATGCGGTCATTAAGGAGTATGTTAGGGATGAAGCTGAATGACAGAGTGAGAAATTGTTTAATAAGAGAAGAGTGTGGTTTGCAAGATGATGTTGTGACCAGGATTAAGAAAGGAATGCTTCGGTGGTTTGGCCATGTAGAAAGAATGAATGAGGAAAGAGTGACAAAGCAAATTTATGTTGCAGAGGTGAACGGCTTAGTCGGGAAGGGTCGCCCTAGGCGAAAGTTTATCGACCAAATTGGCGATATATTAAAAATGGGCCAAATCAAGAGTACCTTTAACCGACGAGCGTGTATGCGTAGGTATATGGATGTGGAGGAAGCGAGAGAGGTGTGTCAGGATCGTGCCAAATGGAAGTCCATAATCTCTGCCTACCCCGCTGGGTGACAGGCGTGAGTGTTTATGTTATGTTTTATATCGTTTACAAGTGGGCAGTTCTAAAACCTTTCAACGTCGCCCTCGTAATTTTTAATTTATTTTTATTATTATTTGTTGTTATAGCGGCAACAGAAATACAAATTCTGTGAAATTTTCATATGTCTACCTATTATGGATCATGAGATATATGCCGCTGACACACAGACGGATGGACAGTGGGGGCTTAGTAATATGGTCCCGTTGGTTACCATTCGGGTACAGAACCCAAAAAGAGCTTTGAACAAACTCCATTTATCGGCTCCTTGCATACAACTATACATAAAATGTTCGAGAGCTAAAAGCAGGCAAACGTTTAATTTTAAAAACGTAATTTTAATTATTTAATCGATATATTTTATATAGGAAGGTACAGCTGGTCCACCCCTATCGTTATTAGGGGTCCGTGGGCTTAGAGACGAGCCGCTACATCGTTCCGCGCACTGCATACCTCATCCTACGCAACATAGACCTCTGGTGAATCCTACATTGCAGGTAAGTCTTAACATCGCCGCCCTTTTGAGAAATGGTGCAGTTGTAAGTGATGTGTAGGGGCGTATTTTCTACCAACTTCTAAAAGAAGGAGGTACTCAATTCGACTGTAGTGTTTTTTTATGTGTGTTACCTCATAACTTTTTGTGGGTGCACCGATTTCGATGTTTGTTTTTTTATTTGAAAACTGGTGCTAAACCAATAGTTTTTGAGTTATTCTTAATAATTTATATTGAAGTCGGTTGTACAAAAATTTTTATTTTAAATTATTGTTTTAACAATGAAATATGTATTAAATTTTATTAGAATTAGTTTCGTTAAAAAAAGAGTTATTGTATTTTATTAGATTCGTTACTAAAGTACGCTTCTCTAAATTAAGAGAATGTACTTTAAACGTGTCACTAAATTTAAATATCTGGGACATATTATTACTGATGACCTCAAAGATGATGCTGAAACTGTTACGCTTTTTAAAGCATTCTGCCAGAGCGTATACAAGGGGAGCCTGTGGGTCAAATACACCAAAAGATCGCCTGAAGCCCTGTGCATACAATATAATAATATATTCAGGATGCTGTTTGGACTACCTCGTTTTGACTGCACTAGCATCAGGGATGTTTGCTACATACCAAACAGATGGGTGTGGAAATGTCTTGTGCAGAGAATGATCACTGGGCCCTATCCACCCCCATGATGGTCTGTCTCGGCACAGTGTATTATATAACAGTGGTAGAGCCACGCGGCAGCTTGCTGTCGCACGGATGGGTCGGCTCGAACTGGCGTGGTACCACGACCTCACAGAATACCAGCGTGAAGTAGAGGTTTATAGCGGTAATGCCGAAACAGACCGACTCATCGACGACGTCCAAATGGCTACAGATTCCTTGCTACAACAGATCCCATCCGCAGAAATCGTGATACTCGGTGATTTTAACGCAAACCACGCTGAATGGCTTGGTTCCCGTTTAATCGATCATGCGGCTAGATCTGTCTATGACTTTGCCTTAGCATATGGTAGACCATATGCTAAGGCAAAGTCATAGACAGATCTAGACTGTGTTAGAACACAACTGGTTACTTCGCCTACGCGGATCCCAGATGTGGAAGATCATGTACCTTCCCTGTTGGACCTTCTGCTGACCTTTCATCTGGACGGATATCAGGTCTCCGTGGGTGCTACCGGGCCTGGGCTGACGCATCAACGTCTCGGGATGTAAACACCAGCGCACTTAAAAAGAAGTATAATTCCGCCTCCAGGTCCATCAAAAGCGTCATTGCCAAGGCAAGGTCTGAGCACATCGGCAGAATTGATGAGAAGCTAGTTCGCCTTCCTTCGGGAACCCGTGCATTCTGGTCTCTCGCCAGGGCTGTCCAAGGGAACTTCTGTTAGCCATCTCTTCCATCTCTGCACAGAGAAGACGACTTACTGGCCCATGCCGCAAAAGAGAAAGCCGATCTTTTAAGCTCTCTCTTTGCGTGCAGTTTTATGGTCACTTGGAAGGGAAGGTCAAACTAGCCTCTAAAAAGCTTGGCGTACTAAGCAGAGCGAGACAGTATTTCATGCCGGCACATCGCTTGCAACTTTACAAAGCGCAAGTTCGGCCTCACATGGAATACTGTTCTCATCTCTGGGCCGGAGCACCTCGGTGCCAGCTCCTTCCACTTGACCGCATCCAGCGCAGAGTGGTTCGAATCGTCGACGACCGAGTTCTTTCTGATCGACTCGATACACTGGCCATGCGTAGAGATGTTGCATCTCTTTGCGTATTTTCACGGGGAATGCTCTGAGGACTAATTCCAGCCGCTCACCATCGCACATCGCGATAAAACTTGCGATACCATCCATACCACGATGCGATTTAGAAGATGTTTTCTTCCTCGCACAACTCCCTTGTGGAATCGATTACCACCAGCGATTTTTCCGGACCGATACGACTTAGGGACCTTCAAGAAAAGAGCCTACTCCTTTTTAAAAGGCCGGCAACGCATCTGCAATTCCCTTAGTGTTGCGGTTATTCATGGGCGGCGGTAGTCACTTACCATCAGGTGAGCCGCATGCTCGTTTGCCCCTTCTCCCATAAAAAAAAAACATTTTCATATTCCACGAAGTACAGTGTGCGAAATTTATATTTTATGTTATAATTTCGATATATCGTGAATATTATGGCGAAGTTGTTTGCAATAAAAGTGGCGTTGGTCGAAGTTTACCTATGAACAACATTACAATAACATTATGAAGTATACCTATGATTGAGTTTTTATAAAAAATGCAAAATAAATGTAATAAATGTGTTGCAAACTTAACTGTTGTAAATTTAACATCTTTAATCTTGCAAAGAAAAGAAAGGTAACCTTGGGACTGGTCAAATTAAAAATGCGCTTATTATAAATGGGTAATACATCACCGTGTGTGGGTGGTATCAAAGAATAGCCACGATGTGTCGTCCTGCGGTCATCATATTAGACAATTATAGAAACTTCCAGCAAGATCTCATAGCCTTCGATAGCAGAGTAATCCTACTAATATTATAAATGTGAGAGTTTGTTTAGATGTTTGGATGTTAAAATGGCAGATACGTTGTCACCCCTGAGAACTAAGTCGCCGGTTCTCTACACACACCATTCGAAACACAACAGTATTAAGCTGCTATTTGACGCCGGTATTCTCTGAGAACGTGGTGCCACAGCACGAAAGGGTCCACTCGACCCATTCGTGCTATAACCGTAATATATCTGCAGCATGGCTGCAGATATATTACGGTTCAATTCAACAATGGCTCTACCACGTCGAGCGTGTCCCTACCACTTTGAATAATAAATATAATTTTATTCTCCATGTAATGCCTGATTCGATTAATTATTTTACAAAATTGTTAACAGAGAGAGATTTTTATAAGGTGATGATGAAAATTTGTCAGTCACAGTGATTTTAAGATCAGGAAAGGCTATCTACTAGTTACTTTCAGTGTCGCCCTCGATTACCGTTACAACCTAATAAAGTCCATTGCTGAACATAGGTCTCCCTATAGATTACCTCATAGGGGATATTTGTCATTGGTTACCACGCTTGGCAAGGGGGTTGGCAACCGCAGTTTTTTTTATTTATTTTAGCGGTCGCTTTCAAGCTGTTTCTTAAATAATTTTTGTAAGTAAGTTTTTGCAACCTGTGTTCTTTCAATATAATATTATTTTGAAAAAAGAAGTTCAACTGCGTTTCTTGCTGGATTTTCCCAGGGCAGAGATTTTTTTTAATTAAGAATTACTTGTAATATGTATTGTATAAAAATATTCTATTCTATTATACAGGAGCTGTCGGGCAGTGTGAGTGCGGGCGGTTCGGAACCGGATTTGAACGCGGTACCTTCGGTCGCACCTCCTCAGCCCTCTGTCGATGCCAGCGCCTCCAGTGAAGATGACAAGCCCAAGGACAAGGACAAGAGCAGTGAGTCACTATTTTTTTTAATTCATATCTATACAAATAAAATAAATTGAAGCGTCTGTTTGTAATCTAAAAATAACAGCTTTTTACTAACTGCATATAAAAGTATATACGTTACTTATAACAAAAACATAATTTCATTTCAAGTCTGCCTATTTGTTTCGGCTAATCTCTGAAATGGCTGGACCGATTTTGACGGGACTTTCACTGGTAGATAGGTGATATTATAAGTAGTAACTTAGGGTACTTTTATTGTAGAAAAATAATTGAGGTATCGTGCAAAGAAATTAAAATCCTAAATTACACGCCGGCGAAGTCGCGGAGAACAGTTAGTTTACAAATAATGTTGATTTAGTGGCAATAAAGAAAATCACAAAATATAGACCGAATAGATGGTGTTATGTTGAGTTATTTATACATTTTATATTTTCACCCTTGCCCTAAAAAAGAGCAAATACCACAATACCGGAGGTAATCTTAGTGTAGGGATAACTTTATACTGTATGTATGTATATATTTATATATGTATATATTGTGTGTTACTTAGGTATATATGTGTATGTATGTGTGTGTATATGTATATGTGTATATATAACATGTTTTTTAGCCCTTTCTATTTTGATTACTGCTGCACCGCCTCTTGTTTGTCTATATCTGTTTAGCTTAATGGTTGATTGGGAGAGTCCGCAATATGTACAACTTTGTGTAAGACAGTTTAAATAAATGAATAAGGAGAAAGAAGTACATGAATAGTTTAATTTAGCATGGTGAGTAATAGTGTGGTTTGCAGGCCGGTCGCGCGCGAAGGCGGCGCTGGTGAAGCGCGTGCGCTCGGTGGCGGTGTTCTCGCTGGGCCTGAAGCGCGCGCGCGAGGCCGCCGCCGACCGCGCGCACGCGCCGCACACGCCCGACAAGCCGCCCGTACGTACGCTCGCGCTTTTATATCATCCTTTTACCTATTTCACATTGGTAGTTATTAAAAATAATATATTTATGCGTATATAGACGTCTACCACCACCAATACAAACCGTTTTGCAATTTAATGGCACTGTATAGTAACTATGCACTCTTATAATATGTTTTGTACATATCATTAAATAAATAAAATATAATTCAAAATTAATAAAAATTAATATTCAAAAACTGAAGGCTAACTATGACATCAGGACGTCAAATACCTCAGTACGCGATAAAATCCGTAAAAATTAGTTTCATTTAATATGTAGTCTTCGCGTAAATATAAGAAATCATTATATAATTCAAATTAAAATTATTTGTACAACTGACTTCAATATAAATTATTAAGGATAACTCAAAAACTACTGATCAGACCTAGATGAAATTTATATGGGACTACATGAAAAGCACCAGCTTTCAAATAAAAAAATTAATCATCGGTTCACCAACAAAAAAGTTATGAGATAACACACACAAAAACATACAGTCGAGTTAAATACCTCCTCGTCTTTGAAGTCGGTAGAAAATAATACTAACACACACACAAACTCCGAAAAAAATCCGGCACCAGCACACGTATACTCACGCTTTATGTGCTCCTAGTACTGACACTAATAAACCTCCAGAAAGAAACCAGTACCAGCACACGTATACTCCACACTTTATGTGCTTCTAGTACTGACACTAATAAACTCCAGCAAAAATCCGGTACCAGCACACGTATACTAACACTTTATGTGCTCTTAGTACCGACCCTAATAAACCTCCAGAAGGAAACCAGTACCAACACATGTATACTCAAGCTTTATGTGCTCCTAGTACTGAAACTAATAAACTCCAGAAAGAATCCGGTACCAGCACACATATACTCACGCTTTATGTGCCCCTAGTACTGACACACAAACACCAGAAAGAACCCAGTATCAGCACACATATACTCAAAGTCAAGCTTATGTGCTTCTAGTACTAACACAAATAAACCTCCAGAAGGAAACCAGTACCTGCACCAAAAAACAATATCCTATAATTTGACGGCTCCGTGGCGTAGTGGCTTAGCAATGAGTTGCAACGCTTGGGGTCGCGGGTTCGAATTCCGCACGGAACAAGTATTCGTATGGCCTACAAATAATTGTTCCGGGTCTGGATGTTTGTCCTTGTGCAATATATATTTGTAAACTACTTCCACGATACAGGGGAAAATACTAGTGTGGAGGTAACGTTTTTTTTTTTTAAAGAATAAAAAGAAGAATATCGGATTAGGTACCAGCCACCCTCTTATCTATTTCTAAAACCAAATGACAGTACTTGCACTGCTGTGTTTTGACCTGAAGGATATAGAGAAAAACTGCACTAACATTATATCGTTATTTATATATTTGAACTTAATTTTGAAATTTGCCTACTCTTTAATAATAATCCTGTATAGGCTGCTACTGCAAAATACCATGTAACAGGTTTAATTGCGATGACTTAAATCTTGAGCTTGAAACCAGCTTGGTAGATTTGCATACTAAATGGCGAGAAGGTTAGACCTTGGCGTAAGTACCATAGTGTAAAGTCGTATCACTTGCGATGTCTGAACCTACCTTATTTTTATTTCATGAGTGTATGTGATATTGCAGAGATATGAAGAATAGGTACATAGTTAAGATTAGATAGTGTGGGTATCTTTCCAAAGGTTTCGATAATTTTTTTTTTTAAAAGAATAAAAAGAAGAATATCGGATTAGGTACCAGCCACCCTCTTATCTATTTCTAAAACCAAATGACAGTACTTGCACTGCTGTGTTTTGACCTGAAGGATATAGAGAGCTCGTAAAACAAGCTGCGAGGCATTTTATCTTAGTCCTCTGACGTGATGACGCATCTGTATGAAGTTGCCTTTGTTTGAAGTTGACTGCAAGTTCCCATGGACTGCAGTAGCCAATGAGGAAATCCACCTCTTTTTCTGCCACCAGGACGGCGCTAAGAATGGTGTGAATTAATTGACAGATTTCATGGTAAGGGAAGTTGTTAGGAAAATATATGGGTTAATGTTACTTTCTGAAATATTAGTTATACCTAACTACAGATATTCCTTATAGTAGACATTTAAAAAATCTTAAAATGTGTAAAATATTAAAGAATACATACAGCACAAGCTCCAGAAATCATCATACACGACGGAGCTTTTGCCTACTATTTGCTTCCTTAATGACACGCTCGCTAAGTTGATAACTACGCGACGCGAATTATGATTGCAATTACTACTATATGATAATTAAGTTATTAGTTTTAATTTTTTTTTATATTATAGTTTTTTAATATTGTATATAATTTATAAGTTATGTTACTTTATAGTCTTTACGAATCGTCTTGCAACACTTGACGACTTCCAGCTTCTCGAACAAGCCGGTTTCCGAAAAGGCTTTAGTTTCATAGATCATCTACATATTCTTCGGCAAATTGTACAGGATCGAACAGTATAATCTGCAACTCTTGAACTGCATATGTGGACTATGGGAATACATTTGATTCTGTTGAAATTTGGATAGTGCTTAAAGTGTTTGTACAATAACAGAGAGTACGAAACCTATCCAACTGCAATCTGTAGTTCCTATGTACTCGTATATATTTTAAAAAATTACTTGATTTACTATCTATGACTACAACACAGTATATATTCTTGCAAGAGGTTAATACAGTACTAGTAATCTAGAATAACGCGCAGTACACTCGCTCAAATTAGTTTTATTTTAAAAATCTACCAAGGTATCCTTACATGATGTCACTCTGTTGTTGCCACAGGTTCTCCCAGCTCCGATGTTAGGCGGCGAGCTCTCTCTCATACCAATAGAACAACTCATACAAGTAGAAGACGTCAAACCGCGGCCGGCCACGTAAGCCGTTACTTTTGTACAACCCCTTACTGTTTTTAAAATGGTTTGTATACATCAAATACCATTTTTCAGCCATAAATATAAATTAACTTGAGAATTTTTTCATGTTGATATTTAAACGTCGGCAGTCTTATTTCTGCGATATTTCAGTCGGTTACCTGTGAAAACTGGTGACCTAATTGGTCATTTTTGTAATTAGGAAATTTCCATTTGGAGTATGTGCTTATTTATAACGATTTTTTAAATTATAAATTGCTCCCTCTCGGAGGAAGTATATATGACATATACCTACTTATTGCTGGACAGCTACGTAATATATAGACTGTAACTTTGACCTACAATTTTTATATAATACCCAATACATGCTTACCCAATCATACCCAATATATGTCGACGGCATGAAGAAGTCATTATGTTGTTTGAAACTGTGATTATCAATTATTCTGGGAAATCTATGACTTTTTACAGAATTACTACCCTTAAGTTTGTGAGATCTTTACTAATCTTGTCAAACCGCCTGACAAACGTAACGACTAAGAAAATTCTTCAAAATTAGAATGTGTGTGTCCAGTAGAAAACTTTAAACAATAATGATAATGGTACTCGTCATTTTTAATATCATAAATTTTATTTTGACGAAGATTTATAACTTTATGTTTATGGCTGACGGGATGGTAACGATCTTTTTAATATATTTAATAATATAATGTTATTACCCACTTGTTTAATCATTTCACCTTTTTATAAGATTGTACGAAGTTGTATGCTTTGATTGTATATACTACTGTTGACGTAGTTTGTGTAGTGAAAATAGATAGATTATTTTTGGTAACAATATGAAATATTTAGTGTCAAATATTACTTAAACACTTCGCACATTTGCAAACACAAAATAGTATTATGTACAATTAAAGTTTCAGATGATTGTTGTCAATATACCAGAGTACAACATGTTTTAACTAGCAACACCTACACCATAGAGTATGTAAACGTAGACCATAGAGTAAAGTAGACGATACGTACGCCGTTGCGGTATCTGTATGTATAATTTAACATAAAATGTAGGATTGTTTTTAGGAACACGCAATAAAATTATTTATGGCCTAAACAACTATACGTAGTTGAATAAGAGAAAATTTGGTAATAGTAACGGCAGTTGTCCAAATAATTTATTTGTAAATGAAACAGTATTATTTGTTATTGCATTTAGTTTGATAAGTAACACATTCATACAAGTTAAAGGCAATACACACACATCGCAAGATGAGACCTATAGTATATGCTTAATCCACGTGTTCATGACATATACCGATCGCCTCTATTTGTTGGGGGTTGAGATTTCCTCCACCTGAACTTTGGACAGCTCATTGAGTGCAAATTGCGGTGGTACTCCATGCCCAAACAGCTGCTTATATAAACGATTTAGCAGTACTCCATGCACGACTTGCGTACATTGAATATTGCTGCCCTATACAGGGTTATTTTGCAATAACCGGCCTAATTTGCAGAGGTTCTGAATAAGTAATATAGGCAAATGGTGAAGAAAAATTAATTAAAAATAATCTCAAATTTTTTTATCTTTTAAATGAAAATGCGTGGTAATGCATTATTTTAACTGATTTTACTGAGCATTACACATGATTATGTAAGAGTCGATCGGTAGGCAAAAACGTTGTTGCCCATAAATCACATTCAATTAAAAGCCTTGTTTACTCGTATTTTCAAAAACTGCACTAACATTATATCATTATTTATATATTTGAACTTAATTTTGAAATTTGCCTACTCTTTAAAAATAACCCTGTATAGGCTGCTACTGCAAAATACCATGTAACAGGTTTAATTGCGATGACTTAAATCTTGAGCTTGAAACCAGCTTGGTAGATTTGCATACTAAATGGCGAGAAGGTTAGACCTTGGCGTAAGTACCATAGTGTAAAGTCGTATCACTTGCGATGTCTTAACCTACCTTATTTTTATTTCATGAGTGTATGTGATATTGCAGAGATATGAAGAATAGGTACATAGTTAAGACGAGGTAGTGTGGGTATCTTTCCAAAGGTTTCGATAAAATTTTTGATGTTGTTGATGTGTTTTATTCATGTAAGTTACAGTCACTATTTTTCTTCCTTTGAACGCTTCCTTGTCGGTGTCAAGTAATTTTGTGACAATAATTTAATGCGTTCATTTCTAACTGCTGAAATCGGCCAGAGAACCAAATATCATATTGTATAAATTATTATTAATATTTTGTGTTATATATAGCCTTCTAGAGAATTTTCAACATTATCGTTCGACTCATTAGTTTAGTAAAGTTATCAGTGCACAATTTGATTTCTATGAAAGATCAAAGAACCCCATTTGATTATTTATAAATATTTACTTTCATTGCGCCTCACTTGTTATGTTTTTCATCATTCCCCGATAGCTCAATATACCGGATTTAATAAGAACGGGCAGCGCAACCTTGACAAGTCTATACTAAAGCTCAACGTCTTCCTTTCGCATTCGAGATGTGCAATAAATTATCGCTTGAGTTCCGTGTCTAGTACAAGTCGCAGCACGTAAGTCTAGCGCTGAACGAAATGTAGAGAGGACGCGCACGAATTAAATTGCACGAATGCGACTGGAGAGCGATGCAAACGATACGCACGAGCCAATCAGCGCGACTTATGCACAATAAGCCAATCAGCGCGACTTATGCGTAATAACAGTCACCGCTAGACTTTCGTGCCGCTGCTTATATACAATCGGTTTTACCACCATTGAATTATATCCCAAATACAATATGGCGGAACCACTTACCGATTTTATTGGTATACATTTTTTAGTTTTACTTTGTACCTTCTTTAAACTTTTCACATTAATGAATACCAATGAAATCTGTGTAGAGTTTATAAATATGTGATGTTTGTTTCTCTGATTTAATTTGGTTTCTTCTTGCGAAATAGTCACTTTCTTAAATCTTTTTAATACAGCTAGAGTATTTCCATATTTCCTTATTGTTCGTAGGTAAGGTTTGTTTAAGATTTATGCGATAAAACGCATTCGCTTATCTGGAATCAAATCTGTTAAGATTTAAATGTATAGTATACGATGTTTACTGAATTATATACAGGGCTATCAAAAACTAGATTTAATTGAGGAAGATTCGCATGTGAAATTAAAACACAAAATAATATCTGTAAAAAAATTTCTATTTGATAGTTAGGTATGTAAAACTTAAATACTTTTTGCGTCGTGCGTTGTGCATGACCTTGGCGGGACGTACAGCAAGATGGACCGTGAATAAGGCGCGGACATTTTCTCTAAGTACATTTTTTCTACGGTTCTTTCTTTCCTTGCTAATGTAATCATATGGTTGTACTTTTGCCAACGTCTAGTAATTATAAAAATATTCAATATAATAATTTATTTGATGCCTCCTCATTTAGACGGCAACTTGAGCCAGCTGATAGTCAATGACGATAGTATCTCAACGCACCTTAGCAGATAGAATAACTTGAGACTAAATCACGTCACCATCGAAGCGATTGTTTCATCGTTTTCACTAATACGAGTAGTTCATCGTATCAAAATCCACTAAATCCTATCCAATAAATAGTAGTTTGTATTTTAATACTATTACAGTGTGCAGGAGTAGCAATCCGTCAGCGGTCAAGTTAACGCCATAAGTCCTTAAGGTCCTTATGCAATTAAATCGTATTTTTAAAGCTATAATTTATTCCTTTTCGAAGCACGTGATTGGTTTACACTTCACAGCCTTTATTGAAAACTGGACTGTTAGTACTTCGGATTGTCTCTTTCTAAACCTGGGTGTGTAATATTTGGGGTCGGGTATTATACATAATATAGAAATCTGCTTACGGATCTGCGCGAATAATATGCTTACTCTTTGTCATATCTTCGCTTAAGTTATAACACCGCGGAAGTCAAAAATGGCAACTTTTCAGGAGAGCAAAAAAACCATGCCCTATTATATATCGCGATATTAATATATAAATTTTTATGTGAAAATTTATAAAAATAGATCAATTTCAAGATTTTTGTTAAGGTTGTTGTAAAAAAATATTATTTGTATTATTTTTCTGACATACGCGGTGTTACCACATTAAAATAAAGGTTATGGGGAGACTTACGCTGAGTTATAAAGACACTGTAAATATTTATAAATCATTTATTTCAATTAAAATTAGAATAACAGGTAGACTTATACCTCTTAAAAAAATAACAAAACATAATACATTTTCTTCTACAACTTTTTAACCACTCTTCTTAACTTTTCATTACAAATGATTAACAATTTTACTTTATTGCACTGTTTGTTAACCTGGATAATTATTTGGTATAAAATATCTTACATCAAAATGGAATACTGACAAGTATTACTTAAACATATTATATCAAAATAACAAAAATACAATATCAGTTATTATAAAATCTTAATGAAGTAAAGTATCGTAAAAACTATGACAGTCAGGCGGAATAACTAATTAGTTCTTGCAGATGTTTCCATTTGGATTCATTTATTTTTTGATGATTATTATAAAGCTTAGTCCTTGGGCCCGGTCTTGTCCTATTATTTTTGGCTCTTCTGGGCAAATTTTTATAGTCGTCCTGAAAGCTTAACTTGTAGTTAATAATGCCGTTAGGGTTATATTCCAAAGCTCTCAAATCTGTGACTGTAGGATCGTCGGCAACTCTGCCAGGCCGGATGGACTCGTACAAAAAATCAGCTTTGTTTGAGTAGTCAAAAAAAAAGTCGTATGATAAAAAGTTTACCATGAAAGGTTGTTTCGGCCGAGCTTCCTTGGAAATAATGGCATAGTGGGAAGGTAAGTATATCTCCTTAATTTTAAGCCTGCATTGAATTGCACTGTGGCTGGAGTCACACTCCATTTGAGTATGACCTTTTTCAAAGAATTTCTGTGTTATTACGACATTATATTCCATGGCTAAATCTAAAAGAGCATTCGCTAAAACAACGTTTCTGTTTTGGGATGT